TTAGTCTTCTCGGGATGATGGAGTTAATAACTAACTTTGGATTCTGGGTCGACTCAGCTTTAAAAAAAAAAAGTATCAGGAAATATCCTGGAAAGTAAAGTTAGCCTACACTGTACTAATCACTTCACTTACTGGTTGGCTTTTGGTCTACACAAATCTAAGGCTAGCATCATTTGCTCAATTCATCTCAAAGGGCAGAAATGGATGCTCCAAGTTTTCCAAGCAAATGACCGACACAATATTGATGCTTCTCTCACCTTATACATAGAGCCAGACTTGATGAAATTCTTCTCCAGAATGTTGTCTAATGATGGGTCCAGTTCCTCTTCCACGTCTTCAATGAGCAGAGGTTTCCCCAGGGACAAGGCATCTTCCAGGTGGTTCCTGAAGTACTTGTGGTTTAAAGAGGTCACCTGCAGCATGATTATCATGGTGATTAGAAGGAGGCAATCTACATTCTTTGGTCATGTCATGAGAAGGAGAAAACTGAAGTACATCACGACAGTGGGAAAGCTGGAGGAGAGGAGTGGCAGAGGGAGATCAAGAGAGAAGATGCTGGATCTGGCATGGATGATCATCTGTGTTTGAGATGACCGAAAGTATACGAGACAGAAGGTTGTGGATAGAGATGACTACCAACGCCACACAGCATCGACTTTAAGAAGAATATTAGTGCTGATTAGTATAGTAGAGTGGTTTTCAACCAGAAGAACGCATAATTTTTAAACTGAGTATATTTTAACTTCTAATAAGTTGTTTTTCAGTGTCGTTATTAATTATTTGGAAATTATAAAGGAGTCCTAGTCCCAGTGCAGAAGCAAAAGCAGAAGAAGAAGCTGAATCAGAAAAAGAAGAAGGTGAAAAAAGAAGGAGGAGGAGGAAGAGTAGGATGAAGAGGAGAAGAAGAAGAAGAAAAATCAATTAATAAGAAATACTAGCAACTCTTACCAGCAACTGTCTTTTCTTCTCCCTAGCTTTGATCCAGCTCTTGCCCTGGGCTTGAGGGTCTATGAGCAATGGGTAGCGAGAGGCTTTGGTGGTAATGATGCCATTCTGAACAGACAATTCATCTCCTGGAAGACCTTCAATATTCCATTCTGCTATCTGAGGGTTACCAACAGCAAGTCATAATAATTCAAATTATACTGAAAAAGATCAGTAATGTTTGTCGGCACCTTTCCGTATTTTCAGATAATAGTGTTCTATTGTGTTATAAGGAGGCATGGGCGATGAGCTTTTGGCGTGTAACTAGCAAGACCTGTAAGTCTTCTATAATTATAGCATGTGATTTTGGAACCATTGTTGCCATTTCTTGCCTTCAGCATCCTTCTTTGTAGACTCCCAGCTCTCAACCTATCTACGTTCATTGTGTCGGTTATTTCAATTCTCTTCTGGTTCCCCTCTCATCGCAACACAGTATGGCATTTTTTCACCTCAATGCCTGTTTTATTCATTTTCCACCTGCAAACATCTTGGTATCATAGTACGCAAAAAACAGAGCAGTGCTACAACTCTACCATCCCCCATTCTCCAAGTGTGACTCAACCACTTGAGCCTCCGAAGACTGCACAATGAGAAAACTGTTCTGATACCTGCTCTTTCCAATACCTCAGTTTTTCTGATATAATATTGAGTAAATAATGACATAATTTTTTTTTTGCATCAACTGGCCAGCAAGAAAGGGGAAAAATAAAAATAATGTAATATTTTAATTATTTCCCTTTAACAATTTCACAAACCGAGCTGACAAAGAAAGGTTTCTGATGTCTTCATTCTAATGATTTTTGCACGAGAGAAATATATCACAAAAATACTATCTCTTCCCTTAGACATTATGTAGGGACTCAAATGGCAGTTCTCAAGATCTATTTCATTAATTTATAGAAATGCTTAATGAACTACACATATGAAATAATATTTTCTATACAATGGTAATAATGACAGTAACAATGAAGGTCTTTAATGTGCTTTTAGGTGTATAAAATTACTTTTAAACTCACTTACCAAAAGTTTATAACAACTTCAAAAGCACAATGGCATGAAAAGATAGATTCTTCTTCTTCTTACTGTTTGCTGGCTGTTTTACTTCGACACAAAGTTCACAAAGTTCTGGTTGTTCATCCACTCCAGAACTTTGGTCTTGATGCAGAACTTGAATTATGTATTACATTTAGTTTACAGATCTAGCTTATTTGTATGTAGACTGATGGCTCCTTGCTCGATCGGCAGGTTCATTCCAACTTTAAAATACATACCCCTAGTTACCTCCTACGGCATCCTTGTTAAGGGCACAGTGGGTATGTTGTTTGTTCTCCGAAATGCAGCCCCAGAACCCATATAGGGGATACAAAAAAATTGTCTCAAAATTTTAAACTGATTGTTGATATATCACCTAGAAACCACATCACAAATGAGACAGTCTGCTGTACCCTCACTAAAAAAAACACTGGCAACTATAATCCTCTTTTAACATCAGTGAAAGGACAGGAAAAAAAAACAATGATACATGTATGTAACAAGATCTACTGGCCTCTCCAAAACAATGTTACACGTTCAGAAGAGAGAAAGAGAAGAAGAGGCAGGCCAAGAAAGACATGGATAAAGAATTTGGCTGACTGGACAGGCCTCAGACATGCAAATACAAAGTTCATTACATCTGACCAACAGTGGAAAGTGGGGAGGGAGGTGGGGGGAGGGGAAGGGGGTGGGGGCTAATCAGACACTCAACAGCAAATGGTAACCCAACAACATGTGGTCTTAAAGGACTATAATAATTATATCCACACAAAACTGCAACAGCTATTACCACCCACCATGCATTGAACAACTAACAAAATCTTCCTGATTGCAAAAGTAGACCATGATAAAGATAATGAAAAGAGGAGTGTTGATCTAATAACTAACATCACAGCACTCAGGACATACCCATAAGTGATTTATCCTCATCTCCAGCAGCCAGCAGAGAGTTTCAATTCTAAAGGCGTCAGTAGCAATGTGATTATATACCCATCTTGCCTTTCCTCTGAGCATAGAGTATCAACCAGATCTCCTGGTCACTCCTAGCTGTACCATTCTCCCCAGACAAACAAGTATTATTTTGTGCCTCCACATTGTTCACTTGCTCTCCACCTCCATTCTCAAACTAGATGTTGTATCATACGCTAGACTTTGGTGCACAAAGAATCATCCATTTGCTTCCGTAATAAACCCCAGTGAAACCCAATGATGAAAAAAAGAACAACTTACAGTAGTTGTATCGACAAGAGCATTAACTACATTCAAGTTCTTGGTGAAAGGGATCTTCTTCACTGCCAGCTCCGTGGCCCACTGATGGATGAGCTTGTTACGGTATTCTTGATTGAAGGGTCCAGCATACGACAAAAATCCTGTACACATTAAAATGTCTCCCGTCAAGCTGAAAATCATGAACAAGAGAAGTTAGTCATGAGCCAAAAACAGTTGAATTCAAAACATAAAAAAAAAAATATTCCTCTTCTTCTGCCCTTCAGTCCACAATGGAGCATAAAACCACCAACTCATGCCGTCCTCTTATCTTTTGATATCATATGCAACTCACCCCATTTACCTCCCCATTTTTTCCCCACCTCATTCTCTAATTCCCTTCTGCACACAATTTGTTGTTCTTGTTTGTGGTGTCTTTATTCTTTCAACCCTGTGGTTTCTAGTGCATTTACACTCTAACTGTTATACTGTTATACTATTGTGTTTAATTTCTTTGATGACCTATGCAGTTCGTTTCATTGACTGAAACTCATACTGTGTGGGTTCCGGGGCCATTTCTTGGGGGGAAAGAATAGAACAAACACCTTCTAAAAATATGCCGTACAAGGTATCTAATTAGGAGTTTGTGAATTGGATGTGATAGGCCAAAAGGCACAGGTATTGCATTTTTTGAAAATTGTATATTTTGAGCTTCAGTGTTTACAGCATTTTAAACAACATGTCATCCAAGTGTGTGTGTGTGTGTGTATATATATATATATATATATAATATATACACATATATACACATATGGACTTATATATAAATATACATACACCACAGTGTGTGTGTATATATATATATATATATATATATGTATATATATATATATATATATATATATATATATATATATATATATATATATATATATATATATATATATATATATATATATATATATATATATATATATATATATATATATATATATATATACATAAGTATGTGGTAATGCTGACAGATGCTAAATCTGTACTTAAAGCACTCCAGTCTAGGAAACTACCAGAATTGCAAACACTGCTGACACAACTCAGCCTTTAGCGAAGAGTTGTAATGCAATGGATACCGTCTCACTGTGGAGTGCCTGGAAATGAGAAAGCTGATCAACTGGCAGGGAAAGGTGCAACAAAAGTGCAGCCGGATGTACCAGTCACATACCACCAAAAGAAAAGAATAATTAAATCGATTAGGAAACCACCAGCCCCAGCACAAGATGACTATTTTATTATGGACAGATCAGAACAAGTCATTATCCTCCGCCTCAGAACAGGGCACAACCGATTATGTAACCACATGTACACATAATTCAAGATAGGTGTATCAGCCCTGTGCACCTGTGGAAAGGTGCCCCAGATAGCAGAGCATGAACTCCAGGACTGCACCGAATTTGACACATTAAGGCAAACTTTTTGGCCAGAAAGAACAACAGTGGGACATAAACTCTATAGACCACTGAATGAACTTAACCACGACAGTGACATTTATAAAAGAGACAAAACTGCTGATATAGACAACTTATTTCAGGCGAAAGAAAAATAAGAAGAAGAATATGTAGATAAAATAACATGGTGACTTCAATCAATTATGACTAAAATGAGAGCCGCTATAGTGTATGGGTTAGACCAGTGTTTCCCACTATGAGCACTAACATCCCACTAGCGGTGGTGGAACTGGCCGGGGTTGGTAAGAGTCTCAGGTGCACTTAGGGGCAATGACTAAACATACGGCAGGGTGGGAGACAAAGATGAAGTAGAGGATGGGAGAAAATAGTTTTCTTGCACTATCCTCTTGAAAGCAATATAAAGTGCCTGAAACAACATCTTCCTTGTATTCCAGGTACTTGCTCCCGCTGTCAACTATCATGGTTCATGGCAGAGACTCTTCTCATTCAACTTGACCTGTCTCCAGCGCTGTCAAACACCAACGGATCATTCCGTATTTCTAATCCTTTCTCTCCATTCATAAGTTTCCTACTTCTAATCACTTACTTGTACATGAGAAAAACCAAGCTTACTTCATACACTCTTTCCTGGGTTTTCTCTTAACTGCCTATTGACTTTTAACCTGTCACACCGGGGAACCCCTTCTTCATCATCGGATTTCCTATTCACTACAATAGTCAGCTCTGCTGATGCATTGTTCGCCTTTGTAAGATTAAAAAAGTATTCAGCCAGGAGGACAGTTCAGCATGAATCTTGTTCAGCACAGTGATGGTACACACTGAACGTGAGGTGGGTCATGTAGCAGCAAAAGTTATGGAGATGAAAACATCCAAGAGACAACCTAAAGTGAAAGTTGATGTAAGAAGCCAAAACTACTGGGCTTGAATCCATCAATGATATCAAAGTGATTGCACAGGACAGAATGAAATGAAGAAATAGACTGTCACTTAGCCCTATGTGACACCTAATGGCACAATAGGAGCATGAATAACAGTAAACAACCATTTTTCATGCCTTTCAGGCGTATTGGGTATATAGGGCTAGACCTCTATTTTCTAGACCAACGGCACAAGATGGGTGATATGGTAAGCATCATGCCAGCTGCCTTTACTTCCCAGGACTGCACCTGGTACCCATTCAAAGCTGGGTCGACCTGACAGCCAAGGTTATTTTTGAAAAAAGTCACGCTACGCCGGGGAGCGAACCCATAACTCCGCAGGCGAGCGTTTAGCCACTACGCCACGGTGACGCCACAGGAGCATGAATGAATAAATGAAAACATACAAACATAGACAACTGTGGTTCCTCACCGAGTAATCTGATCACGAAATTCCAAACTTTGCGCTGTCCACCTGATCTGTTCGCCTCCAAGGCCACTAATCAGCATTGTTGCGGCACTCATCTTATTTCTGCACATTTCAGCATCATCCATCAGTGCCTGCATTCATGACCAAAACACTTTTTTTTTTCAGCAGACGGGATTTATAGTAAATTTTAAATTACCTGGTAAGTCATGTGACTAGGGTTAACTTTCGGCGATTAGACAAACACGATGCATTGATAGAAACCATTACCATTTCAGTCGGATTTATTTCAGTTGTCCAAAGGAGAGATCATAAATTGAGCAGTTAAACCAGAGGAGAGATCATAAATTGAGGGGTTAGACCAGAGGAGAATCATAAATTGAGGGGTTAGACCAGAGGAGAGATCATAAATTGAGGGGTTAGACCAGAGGAGAATCATAAATTGAGGGGTTAGACCAGAGGAGAGATCATAAAAGTAAAGGACTCTTTTCCACACTTTCAAGCATATTGGGCATATAGGGCACGACATATATTTTATAGACCAGCTGGCACTCTTTACTGGCCATCTTTACTTCCCATGACTCTACCTAGCACTCATTTAAGGCTGGGCTAGCCTGGGAGCCAAGATCATTTTTGAAGAAAAGTACCGCACCATCAGGATCTCATCCCACGACCTTCACATTCTCAGGCGAGGGTCTAGTGGCCACACCACAGCAGCCTCTGTTTAGGATTGAAAGAGTTAATAATCTTTGGCAATTACAGCAATAAACCAGAGACATGCTACATGTGCCAATACCTTCTTTTTGGTCATTGCAGTATCATATTTGGCTTGGACAACATTCAATTCAGCTTGCTTTTCATCTAGAGTCTTCTGGACTTCTTGTAGCTCTACACTGGCAATTTTCAGCCTGGCTTCTTGTTTGATTAAGTTGGCCTAGTTGTATGATGAAATTAAAATGTCCACTTACTGTGTTTAAATGTTTACAATATAGATATTTTTCTTCTTCTTTTTTGCATTCACTGGCTGTAAATCTGGTGGAAAGTTCTGGTCATTTATCCACTTTTGGATTTTAGTACTGTTTCTTAACTGGAGTTCCGCATGCACATCTGTTTTACAGGTCTGGCTTTTTTAATGCAGACTGTTGGTTCCTCACCTCTCAGGCAGATGAAAATTAACTCTTAAGGAAAAACCCCTAATTAGTCAACTTTTACAAGCGGTTTCCTAGGGGCAGTAAGTCTATCCCCCACCCAACTGGGCCCCGGAACCACACAGGGACAATGTAGACAGGGACAATTTAGACAGGGGACAATATAAACAGGGACAATGTAGACAGGGAAAATGTAGATCAAATACATTAATTAATGTTTGCTCTTTTTTCTCCCTTTCTTTTTCACTGGCTGATATGTTATCCCGACTCTCAAGAATCTTTGGTAGTTAACTCTTTCAATACCAGACAAATTATATATGAAATTATAATTATAAACTGACATGCAATGTGTTCCTTGGTACCCAGTGAGTTAATAAATCCAAAATCAAGGTTAAAAATAGTTAAACTGAATCTAACACAAAAATGAAGAAACTAATTAAAAAAAAAAAAAAAGTAAATCTGGTTATTGCAATTCCAACTTGATTGCGAAAGTGCCACCCCATAATTATCCTGTTCCTGCGTTAAAAAAAAAAAAAATAGACAGAATGTCCATCACTGTCCCTTATGAAGAAACTGACAGACTGCAGTCTCAGCAAAGCCAGTAGCACATTAAATGCATAAGGCAGCCGTCAGAAGTGCTAACACAAATAGTCTGGCACTAGAAATAGAGTTCATCATCAAAGGAAGCAGTAGTTACAACCAGGCAGCAGTTGCACGCACAGTTAACTGCATAAGGCACCACCAATCAGTAGATTCCGTTCATTATTTTGTTCATCCACTATTTTCTTTCAACAAAATTGCACTTTATCTGTTATGGCATAACTGCACTATTTGCACGTTTTTGACTCACAAATCGGACTTTTTCTAGCCCATGTTGACCTGATTATTCCGCCTTGTAAAGTGATGAATCTAAAATCTAAGGAGAAAACTGTGAACCCAACATGCAGGTTAAAAATAACCTGTACATTGGTGAATCCAAAAATCTATACATACAGGGTTTTTTCATGGCAGTACACACCGGTACACAGTAAAAAAAAAGTTAGTTGCATATCCTTTACAGGACATTGCAGAACCGGATACAGCATTTTTGGGCAAATTTACATCTAGTAGTTTGTCACCACTTTCTGAATGGTCGGCTCTCAATGCCACTGTCAAAACCAACGCAAGGCCTGCAGCTTGGATCGAACCCAGAATCTCCAGCATTACGAAGCACGTTCGCAATGCCTAAGCCACATACGCCGACACAGTACCTGCACCTCTATGAGGCATCAATTTTTCAAGGCTACTAAAACACTTTGTGGTGAGTACCGACACCTTTTTTAGACACAGTTTTGTGAGTAATGAAACCTTTTTTAGACACAGTTTTGTGAGTACCAACACCTTTTTTAGACACAGTTTTGTGAGTACCGACACCTTTTTTAGACAGTTTTGTGAGTACCGACACCTTTTTTAGACAGTTTTGTGAGTACCGACACCTTTTTTAGACACAGTTTTGTGAGTACCGACACCTTTTTTAGACAGTTTTGTGAGTACCGACACCTTTTTTAGACACAGTTTTGTGAGTACCGACACCTTTTTAGACACAGTTTTGTGAGTACCGACACAAATTTTTTAGACACAGTTTTGTGAGTACCGACACCTTTTTAGACACAGTTTTGTGAGTACAGGCACTTTTTCTTCTAGGAAAAAAGCCCTCTGCTCTGTGTGTATACACACACACTCATATATATAAATATATATATGTATGTATTTTGCAAATGAGATGTGTGTGTGTGTGTCTGTGGGTGTGTGTGTGGTGTGTGTGTAACGCTATTTAAAAAAATGAATCTAAAATCTAGATATAAAAAAAAACAAAAAACTGTAGAATGGTGAATCTAAAATCTAGACATTTAAAAAAAAACTGTAGAATGGTAAATCTAAAACCAAGGTTTGAAAAAAACAAACATGTGAAAGGACAAGTACTCACTTTGAGAGGAAGAACCTCTTTGTTAATCCCATAGAAGAAAGCCATTGCACTAGTCCATGACAGCAGCCCAGCTACATTACCACAAACCTGTAATGTTATTTAACTCTTTTAGTCCCCTACAAGGTAGGATGATCTGTTACTGACTATTCCCCTAAATGTCTCAAACATCCCATGAAGTATCTTCTTATATTTAAGTTTTGGGTGATGTACACTAAATAAATCTGGCAACCAGTGAGGTATCTCTCCTTCTTTTTACATTTCTACTGTACAGCAAGTGGTTAGACTTTTTATGGCTAATATTTAATGAAAACGATAAAAGTTTTTTCTATACAAAAACTTATGGGAGAGAAAAAGTTAAGAGGTAATTTATCAATGTTATCTTTGGTTCAGTGTGGTGCAATATCAGTGTAGGAGTTATGGGAGAAGTGAGTTGGTGCATCTGGGAACAATTGGATTCCCATATGATGTTGATCACATCATGAAGTGAGTGCTGACTGATGTATGAAATATGAGGCTAGCATCCTATTCTTGATGCTTCCTTGTGTGGGTTCTGGGGTTCCATTAAGGGGGTCACAAGAACAGAGCCACTGCTCCCCCTAGCAGACGTTTCATAGAAAGTGACTAATTTGGGGTTGGTTGAAATCAAATGTGTTAGGCCAAAAGGCTTTTTTTGTTTTTACTAATTCAGCCAGTCAGTCAGTCATCCAAGCTGTTCATCCCTTCTGTTCCCAAACTGTTATTACTTTTTATGAAGCCAGTTGCTATAAATGTATTACTTTAAAATATGTACGACATGGAGCAGAAAATGTGAAACCAAAATATTTTAGCTTACTATTTTTACAAATTCAGCCAGTCTGTCAGTCATCAAAGCTATTCATCCTTTCTGTTCCTAAACTGTTATTACCTTTTATGAAGCCAGTTGCTATAAATGTATTACTTTAAAATAAGTACGACATGGAGCAGAAAGTGTGAAACCAAAATATTTTGGCTTACCATTTTTACTAATTCAGCTAGTCAGTCAGTCATCCAAGCTGTCCATCCCTTCTGTTCCTAAACTTTATGACTTTTTCTCCCAATCCCACCTCTCTGGGCCACTTTCTGTCCAGTTTCTTACACATAAAATAACATGTGACATAGAGTCTGCACTGCTGAAGCATGTTGATGTAGATAGTGTGACAAGTCTCCCTATAAAGCTAAGTGATGTTTTGTATTCTTGTTTATAATTATATCATTGTCCATATGTATTGTATGTTGATTAAGGCTTGATAGCCACAACACAGATTTTATCGATCAGGACTGTAGTATCTTAAATTGACTAGTTATATTCCCTGTTTTGACTTTTTTTCTCAACAGACAGCTGCCAGTATACTAATTTAACTCTCTGAGTCCCAAGGAACGCATCATACGTTCAAAGGTTCCTACACACAGACCGAAAAAACGCAGGATGCGCCGATTTTACATCTCTTTTGACTACCCCTTGGGCCTCTGATGCTAAACCCCTTGGGGCTCAAAGAGTTAAAGACATGCAGCGCATCTTGATAGGAAAGTGCTCAAATTGTTTACCTGGCGCACTGAAGGTAGTGTGTCCATTTCATGGCTGTACCATTCAGTTCACGAGTGCAGTTTTGTGGAGACCTATATGTATTGGCACTAGGGCTAGAGTTCCTGCTTCATGCAAAGCTCTTGGTAGGCAGCTGGCCATTCTGTGGAGAGAGACTGAGCCTTATGGAATAAAACTCGGTACAATGATGTTGATCCTCTTGACTCCAACCTTGAGTAAGTACTCTAGAAGGTGGCTAAAAACTGAACAAGCCACTACTCACCTTCAGTGCAGATTCATATGTGTAATCTTCCATCCGCATATAAGGCTCCATTAACTCCACCATTTCTCCAGTAATTGTGTCCTTAGGAAAATCCACCAACTGTTGTAGAAAACTCATCTGCCCCATAAGCTGAGTAAGAGATAAAATCAACCGATTATTTATATCAACTCTTTCAGCCCTGGACAACTGTTGCTTCAACACATACATATTCAAAAGTTTGTGCACTTCTGAGCAACAGTGAACGACCTGCTACATGATGATGACAATGAGCATGTTACTAACCACATCACCTAACAAGTGATGACTGACCTACAAACATGTGTTAATATCATTAAATGCCTAACATCTTAAATTGAGGAAAATTTTTTTTTTTTAGTGAATATGCCTTCATTCATTCTTCTATCATTCTCCAACTTCAAAGAAAATTTTGATCATATCTACACTGGGAAAGCTCCCATCAGAAACCAAGTGAATACAAATTGTCAGCTGAGCTTCCAACATCATCGCAGACAGGTCACCCCACAAATGCTACCCTCCTGTGCTGGTGAGAATCGTACAAAATGTCCTTAACTGTCCCCTTTAAAAACTAGTGAAAAACGTGTCAGTCCCAGCAGAATGGTGAAGCGTGCACATACAAAGTAACAATGCATAAGATGTGCCAACAGCAACAGTCACACACTAGAACTGCAGCTCACTGTCGATCACAAAAGCCAGCATTTCTACTTCTTTCTTCTGCACTGTTTATACTTCTATCTTCTGCACTGTTTAAACTTCTTTCTTCTGCATTGTTTATACTTCTATCTTCTTCACTGTTTATACTTCTATATTTTGCACTGTTTATACTTTATCTTCTGCACTGTTTATACTTCTTTCTTTTGCATTGTTAATAATCTTCTGCACTGTTTATACTTCTTTCTTCTGCACTGTTTATACTTCTTTCTTCTGCACTGTTTATACTTCTGTCTTCTGCACTGTTTATACTTCTATCTTCTGCACTGTTTAACCTTCTATCTTCTGCACTGTTTATACTTCTTATACACTGTTTATACTTCTATCTTCTGCACTGTTTATACTTCTATCTTCTGCACTGTTTATACTTCTGTCTTCTGCACTGTTTATACTTCTGTCTTCTGCACTGTTTATACTTCTGTCTTCTGCACTGTTTATACTTCTATCTTCTGTACTGTTTATACTTCTATCTTCTGCACTGTTTATACTTCTGTCTTCTGCACTGTTTATACTTCTATATTCTGCACTGTTTATACTTCTTTCTTCAGCACTGTTTATACTTCTATCTTCTGCACTGTTCATACTTCTTTCTTCTGCACTGTTTATACTTCTTTCTTCTGCACTGTTTATACTTCTATCTTCTGCACTGTCTATACTTCTACTGCACTGATTATACTTCTTTCTTCTGCACTGTTTATACTTCTTTCTTCTGCACTGTTTATACATCTTTCTTCTGCCCTATCTATACTTCTTTCTTCTGCACTGTTTATACTTCTTTCTTCTGCACTGTCTATACTTTTTTCTTCTGCACTGTTTATACTTCTGTCTTCTGCACTGTTTATACTTCTTTCTTCTGCACTGTTTATATTTCTTTCTTCTGCACTGTTTATACTTCTACTGCACTGTTTATACTTCCATCTTCTGCACTGTTTATACCTCTTTCTTATGCACTGTTTATACTTCTATCTTCTGCACTGTTTATATTTCTTTCTTCTGCACTGTTTATACTTCTTTCTTCTGCACTGTTTATACTTCTATATTCTGAACTGTTTATACTTCAACTACACTGTTTATACTTCTATATTCTGCACTGTTTATACTTCTATGTTCTGCACTGTTTATACTTCTATCTTCTGCACTGTTTATACTTCTATATAGTGCACTGTTTATACTTCTACTGCACTGTTTATACTTCCATCTTTTGCACTGTTTTCACTTCTTTCTACTGCACTTCTTTCTTCTATCTTCTGCACTGTTTATACTTCTATCTTCTGCACTGCCATTCTGAACATAATCAGCCACTCACCACTTTAGTGCAGTCAACAACACATCACTGTCACAACAGGGAAAAGGAAAGGTGTGGGGGGGGGGGGGGGTGGAGGGGAACATTCCATTCCCCTGTGAAATCCACAATGAAATATGTTGACAATATTGATTAAGTCTTTTATTTGGGTTAGGGCTTATATTATGAGCATCCCGAAAAATCAGCCAGGGATTTGGGGGGGGGGGGGGGGGGGGGGGGGGGGGGAGTTGGGGGGTCGTTGTTAGGTTTTTATTTGTGGATTTTTGGATTTTGGGAGGGGGGGGGGGGGGGGAACACAATATTAATGCAAGGGAAGAAATGATGTTGATAACTAACTACAGGGTGTTTCATATGTTTAAATATATAGAACAATTACAATAGTTTTGAAAACACATTTTTATGCCTGTCCACCACTGCTGAAAAACACATGTAAGCACAGCTGGAGCACTGATTGTCATGGTGTTGGTGATATGCTCAATTTTCCTGTGTATGGAAACTTTTGGGACATCCTGTGTTTCTGCAGTCAGGTGATGACTATGTATGGAAAGTTATGGGACACCCTGTATTTCTGAAGTTAAGTGATGACCATGTATGGAAACTTATGGGACATCCTGTATTTCTGCAGTCAGGTGATGACCATGTATGGAAACTAAAGGGACACCCTGTATTTCTGCAATCAAGTGATGACCATGTATGGAAACTTATGGGACAACCTGTATTTCTGCAGTCAGGTAATGAATATGTATGGAAACTTTTGGGACACCCTGTATTTCTGCGTCAGGTGATGACTATGTTTGGAAACTTATGGGACACCCTGTATTTCTGCAGTCAGGTGATGACTATGTTTGGAAACTTATGGGACACCCTTATTTCTGAAGTCAAGTGATGACCATGTATGGAAACTTATGGGACACACTGTATTTCTGAAGTCAGGTGATGACTATGTTTGGGAACTTATGGGACATCCTGTATTTCTGCAGTCATGTGATGACTATGTATGGAAACTTATGGGACACCCTGTATTTCTGCAGTCAGGTAGTGACTATGAGAAAAAAATTCACCTTCATAGCCTCTTGCCAGGATGGCTTGGGACATGGCCTTTCTGGGTCAGGTTCCAGAAAATCAACTCTCCTTCTGAAAAGGATCAAACAGCAGTCCATGATCCTGGTGATTAAGTGTGGAGGCTTCCCCAGTTTTTTCACCGTGGCAATATCAGATGCTTTGATTGTCTGAACACAAGTGAAAGACATTCTTCTGTCAATTATTCAAAAAAATCAAATAACATGTTATCACCCCAATCCCAACTTTTCCACCCATGTGGGTTCAGAAAACCCATTGTGGAGGGGAAAACGAACAGACCCATTGTGGAGGGGAAAATGAACAGACCCATTGTGGAGGGGAAAATGAACAGACCCATTGTGGAGGGGAAAACGAACAGACCCATTGTGGAGGGGAAAATGAACAGACCCATTGTGGAGGGGAAAATGAAGAGACCCATTGCCCCCTAAAAAGCATATTGTAAAAGTTGACTAATTAGGGGTGTTCCTTCAAGGTCAGAGTGCATCTGCCTGACAGGTGAGGAATCGATAGCCAGATCTGTAAAACAGATGTGAATGCCAAACTCAAGTTCTGGAACCAGATTCAAGTCCAGAAGTGGAAGAACAACCAGGACCTAACAAGAAGACATGTCATTTTTTTCTTCTGCCTTTTATGAAATCTGGGAAGTGAAGGCTACTATTAAGTTACTGCCCATATCATCTGCATAGTGTTGATTAGTTAACACAAACTTAAACTTTTTTTAGTCAACATAAACATGGGACTAGCAGCATATATCCCTAGCACCTCATGGCATAGAAATGGGTTGTTTTTACTTATCCCCATTTTGGGAGACAAATGACAAGACTAACTTTCCCCCTAACAAGCATGTCCTAAAATGTGGCTTATTAAGGTCTGCATCTGCCTCAGAGACAAGGAACCAACAGTCTGCCTACAAAGAAAGCACATAAATAATATAAGCCACTTCTGTGTTCTTCTATCTTTCTACTTCTTTCTATGAGTGCAGTTCGATACATTGTCTGCTTGTTTAATACATTTAATATATTTATATGGCTTCAAGGGTTCCCCCTCTGTTTATTTATGTAAATGAGGTATACACAATGGAACCTACTAATCAAATCTCTGTCTTAAATGTTTGCGCATTCTATACAAAGCATTATGGTTTACTGTGTTTGTAAATCGTTGCTGCGTTTGTTATTCAACCCAAGCTTCATTAATATAAATGTCTGTAACCTACCGTGCCATTTCAATGGTTTGAGATTAATTCTGTTCATAAAAGTAAAAAAAGTAAAGTTCCCTTTTCACACCTTTCGGTGCATTGGGCATATGGGCAGAGCGTCCCATATTTTTACAGACCATCAGCACTCTGTGGGTAATGTGGTCAGCATTACGCCGGCTGTCTTTACTTTCCCAGGACAGCCCATCCTGGTACCCATTTTAGGCTGGGTCGACCTGCGACGTCCCATACCACGATAAAAATCCACGCAGCCCACGCAGGTTTCGATCGCGGTATGCTGGCTTACGAGTCGGACTCGCAACGCCTTAGCCACGGACGCCGCAATTCTGTTCATATTCCATAGTTATGGATATCAAGCTGTATGATAGACATGGCTAGTGAAAACACCTTTGGCGGCGGGGGGGGGGGGGGGGGGGGGGCGGGGGGGGGGGGGGGGGGGGGGGTGGTCCTAGATGACCATATTCTTAGTGCACTTGTTTCCATAGCAAGGTGCATATGAAATGTGGTGACAGGTTCGATTCCCAACTACAGCTTTCAATTTTTATGTTGTCTAATGTGTTCTTCTATCTTTCTACTTCTTTCTGTGACTGCCGATCAATACATTGTTCGCTTGTTTAATACAAATAAGCCAGATCTGTAAAATGAAAGTAGATAAAAACTCAAGGTCTAGAACAGAAATGGATGAACATCCAGGACTTTCTGCCAGAGTTCACAGCTGGTGAATGCAAAGAAGAAGAAGATATGTTTAATACACCACTGACATGGAAAAAACAACAAAAAACAACAACAGTTTTATTCAAAACAGTGTTTTCCCCGTAATGAATTTAAAAAAATGCAGACACACACACACAAAAATGAGTAACCCCCTCTTAAGTCAGCAGGCAGAATTAATTGACAATCTGAAGTTACCCTGGTCAGTCACGTGACTACCATGACCTTCCCATGACTAGATGAATACGATGCATTGAGAGCGATCATTTGCATTTCAATGGAATTTATTTTGTGCTTCATTATATGTTGCTGTAACTCTGTAGAATATGGGTACAACATTGTCATGGATATAGAAGCTAACCATCAGAACCACAAATCCAAAAAGGTTTTCAAAGAACTCAAGGCTGTAAAATGAGGGCATCAACAAAGAATTTATAGTTTGAAAGATCACAATAGGAACATGATCAAAATAATGAAGAAATTTGAAACAGATGGAATGAATACTTTGCTGAACTGTTAAATTGTGAAACTCCAATTAATACTTATCCACAGGAAGAGATATTAAAATGTGAACCAGATATGAAGAACCTGATTTTGAAGAAGTACTGTATGTCTTAACACGGCTTTAAAAACGATAAAGCAACGTGTGCTGATGAAATTGCAGCTGATCCAATAAAAGAAGGTGTTCATGTATTACATATAAAGATATATGAATTAATAAAACTAGTTTGCCCCGTTCTCTAGCGTAGTTGGCTAAACCGGATTGCGCGGAGAGCAGGTAACCAACTCCTTGTGGTTCGGGTTCAAACCCGGGGGTAGGCAGGAAAGCCACATTTCTCCCAGATTTACGGTATTTACAATGGAATCAAGGCCGAAGGGTTGCGATAACCATAATACCGAGCCTAAGGGTTAACAACTCATGGCTTCTGGATACTAAGACAAACAAACAAACAATAAAACTAGTTTGGAAGAAATTACTAATGAATGGAAAGTGTCTTTATTAATACCTATTTTTAAGAAATGAGGCAAGTATAAGTGTGAAAATTATTATCTACAAGCTATAAGATACTATCGGCAGTATTACTAAAAAGGCTAAAACCATAAGTCAAAGGCATATTAGGAGATTACCAAGCGGGTTTCTGACAGAACAGATCAACAATAGATCAAATATTCATTTTTCGGCAAATAGCAGAGCAAAATTGGGAATGTAGAAGAGATGTACATACTGTTTTTGCGGATTTAAAAAAAAAAAGCGAATCATTGTGTACATAGAAACAGTTTATGGAATGCTATGAAGTACTTTGGAATACCAAAGAAGTTAATTACCATGACCAAACTATGTATGGAAGACACTTGTAATATAGTAATATATAAAGGCAGAAAGTGAGACCCTTTTCACATAACATCTAATTTTAAGCAAGGTGATGCTCTGTCCCCACTTCTTTTCAACTTTTTTGGTTTTTGGTTTTGGTTTTTTGGGACCTTTTTCCACGCCTTTAGGCATATAGGGCATATAGCGCTAGACCTATATTTTATAGACCAATCGGCACAAGTTGGGTGATATGGTCAGCATCAAGCCAGCCGCCTCCACTTCCCAGGACTGCACCCGGTACCCACTCAAGGCTGGGTCGACCTGGGAGTCAAGGTCATTTTTGAAAAAAGGCCAGCTTCACCAGGGAGCGAACCCACTACCTTCCAATCTGCCATGAGCGTGGAAATCAAAACAAGAGTGGACTATAGGAGAAACTACAAGACTACTTGGATTTGTAGATGACTTTGATATCATTGGAGAAAATGAGCTAGAGACTGTTAAAACACTGACTCTCTTAAAAGGATCAGGTCCGAAAATGGGACTAGTTATCAATAAAGATAAGACAGAATACATGATAATAACTAGACAGGTAAAGGATATAAGCTCCAGCCACATACAAGTCAATAATACAAAATAAAACGAACGGAAACATATAAGTAAGCAAAGTAAGTAAAGTAAGTAAAGTAAAGGACCCTTTTCTACACCTTTAGGTGTATAGGACATATAGGGCTAGACCTATATTTTATAGACCAATCAGCACAAGACGGCTGATGTGGTCAGCATCACGACTGCACCCAGTACCGACTCAAAGCTGGGTCGACCTGGGAGTCAAGGTCATTTTTTAAAAAGTCTGGTTCCACCAGGGAGCGAACCCAAGACCTTCTGATCCACAGTGCGCGTCTAGCCACTCTGCCACGATGACTCCCCAAACATATAAGTATTTGGGTGCAAACTTTAACTGCTCCAACATGCTGAGAGGAGAAATTCAATCTAGAATACAATCTGGAAATAAAATATACTACGCCCTTCAACATCTGATCAAGTCAAAATGTCTGTCTCGCAACACCAAAATCAAATTACATCAAACATTGATAAGACCAGTCACTGTAAATGAATCTGAAGCTTGGAGCATAACTAAAATCTTACGACGAATCTTTGGACCCATCAAACAGTCAAACAGTGGGGAATGGAGAGTGAGAAGCAACAACAAAATTCATAATCTGTTTAAATCACCACTGATCGCTGGCATCATGAGAGCTAATAGACTGAAATGGTTGGGGCATATAGAAAGAATGACAGATGAGGGAGAAGTAAAAACTCTATACACAAGAAAAATGAAGGGTCATACACCACAAGGCAGACCAAGAAGACGATGGAGAGATAATGTCCAGGCAGACCTGTAAACACTTGATGTCATCAACTGGAAAGAAAAGGCCAGCCAGAGAGATGAATGTAGGTGGGTGACATCTGCAGCAATGAAGATCAAGGGCTTGGAATGCTGAAGACGAAGAAAAAGAAGAAAAGAAGAACTCTTTAGTAATGCACATGGCGAAATACAGTGAAATATGGTGGGCAATAAATTTGCGAATGTATTGACTGTATCTGTCTTATTTAAAGGTCTTATTTACTGGTAAAAACTTAGAAAAGACTGGTGTGTGTGTGTGTGTGTGCATGTGCATGTGTGCACACAGATGTGTGCATGTGTGAGAGTGTGTGTGTGTGTGTGGGGGGGGGGAAGGGAAGGGGGTTTAAATTCATGATTATGGACATCGACAAAAGTAATCATCACCTTCAAAGCCTCCTCTGCTGCTTCAAGAGCAGGCTTTGCTGCCTCCAGTTTGATCATGGCAACAGCTTTGTCTGCAGCAATCTCATCCACAATATGCTGAGCTCTGTCCTTAACCTTCTGCACAGAGGCCTTGACTTTCTCGGCAGCTTCTGCCATCACAGCTACTTCTGCTACAATCTACAAAAATATGCATGTATTTTCTGTCAGCTTTTTTAGTCTGGGGGTCACCTGTGGCGGAGCAGTTAGACACTCGCCAAGGATTGGAAGGTCGTGGGTTCACTCCCTGGTGGAGAAAGACTTTTTAAAAAAAAAATGACCTTGGCTTCCAGGTCGAACCCATCCTTGAGAGGGTACTGGGTGCAGTCCTGGGAAGTAAAGGTGGCCAGCGTGATGCTGACCACATCACACATCTTGTGCTAATTGGTCTATAAAATAGCCTAAAGGCATGGAAAAGGGTCCTTTACTTACTTTACTTTTCTACTCTGAATAATCATCTTTATTTTTTTCACTCCGCCTCATTGGCATATCACCCTAGACTCATTTTTTTTTAAATCAATTCTTTCACTTGATGTGTGATGTGGTAAACCACATGCGGGCTGACCATCTTTACTTCCCAGGACATTGTCTTGTACCCATTTAGGCTGGGTCGACCTAGAAGGTGTGGATTTAAATGAAAGACATTTTAGCCAGCAGGCAAGCATCTAGCCACTATTCTGCCACAGCTCCCTTCTTTAAATAGTTCTATTACCTTAACTAGTCAATGCAAAGATCTGGACAAGTTGAAATAATAACAATCAAAAATTATTTGAGTCAATTTTGGAGCAGGGCTTGCTGGTACAGCAAGTGGATTCGACATGAATGTAACTGACTCACAGAGAATGCTAAGGAAGGTGAGACACGTATGCACCATGCACAGTGGCAAGCATCACTTTAGAGGCTTCCAGTGATTGGTGTCATTTGGATATTTTCTCCAGGTCATGTCAGTGTTAGGAACCAGACTGGCTGCCTCTGCACCACTTAGTGGTGAATTAATTCATGAAAAGCTAGATATTGTAAGGGTCCTTTGTGAGAAAGTGAACAGTGCAAACGCACCCAATAGATCATCATCATAGTCTGAGGAGAAGGGTACTGTGACGAGTGACCAGGGGGATCTGGCTGATGCTCAACACTCAAGCAAAAGGCAAGACAGACATACAGTAAGACTGCAACTCGTACCACCGAAACTAGAACTTCGCACTTACTGCTGAAGATGGGTCAGAGTAATTATGAGATTGCTCCAAGGGCTGTGATCCCAGTTCTTAATTCAACATTCAACACTGAACATAAAGCAGACAACAAAGGGCAGCATCAAGATATGGATGAACAGTAGTCCAATGGTTATAACAAATGTTTTATCTATTTTAAATCCAACAGTTAAACCTTTAGCTGATTAGTCCTGAATGGGTTGGGAATGTAGAAGTTTCTTTTTTTTTTTTTTTCATCGAACACCGGCTGTGAATTCCAGTGGAAGGTCAGGGTTAATCGTCCGCTTGGACTTTTGGCTTTCACCTGGACCTGATTTTTGCGTGTACAACCCTTTTTCATTTCCCTGCCTCTTGGGCAGCTGTACGCCGACTTCGAAGGAAGACGTCAGGCCTATTTCTAGGGTGACTGTGGCCATTGTTTTGTGTGGGTCGAGACGTTGCCTGATTTGTGTGGTGTCCATTTTGTCTCCTTCATCGCAGGTATTGCCCCCAGAGTACCCCTTTGGGGCAGCCCCCTGTGGAACAGTTGGCCCTCAAGGGAAGGCAGGGGCAGATCATGGGCATTCCTCGCCATCCAAGGAGGCTTCCATGCATGCAGAGCCGGCACATATTGCTCTGATTCTGGGCTCACCCAAGGAATCGTCACGTCCTGCACATGCCTGCTTAACCTCACAACCGTATCAGGCCTCCCACTCGACAGGGGCTGCGCCCTCTGGAAGTCAGCGGGGAGCAGCCCCGTGGATTTTGGACTTTTGTGACCACACAGATAGGTACATTAGCCTGACAGAATTTCACATCCTGAATCAGGCGTATCGTTATCAGTTTTGTCCCAACACTCGGGCGAGTGGGGTCTTTGGGTGTGGATATTCGGTCTTCTTTTTTCAGTTCAGTGCAAATTTTGATGGTCACATTTTGATCCATATGATCTAGTTTTGGTCGGACATTTAGGCTTAGCCATCCGATGGATGGTTGCTGTTGTGGTGTACCCCAGCGCGGTGACGACGACACTGAGGGTTAACCGAGGATGTACGTGAATGCCAGCCTATGGATGGTTGTTGTTGTGGTGCACCTCAGCGCGGTGACGACGACACTGAGGGCCAACTGAGGATGTACAAGGATGGCCAGCCTATGGATGGTTGGCTGTTGTGGTTGTACCTCAGCGCGGTGACGACGACACTGAGAATTAACAGAGGATGTGCAGTGAGCAATGATCTCTTTACTCAGCAGTCTTTTAACCAAGGGTTGTAATTTTTAGCTGTATGTTTGTCAACCCTACTCATGTTCCTAATGAGTTTTGATAACATTTTTTCACCCAAGCGTTTGGGGGCGGGCTGATGAGAGCCACAAGGACACATCACCTCTGGGGGCCGCCAAACTCCGAGATCCCCTGACAGCTCTGTTAATGCTCATTTGAGTCATTATCCGTGGCGCACGACGAGGACGTGCTGTAGGGGTCTTGCGTGAGGTTCCGTACAACCAGGATAGTGAAGGACTGGCGCCCGAGTGACGTACGGAGTATCTCCTTATACACATCATGTTGGACTTAACTTCCCCTCACGCCTGTGACATAAATCACCGGAATGTAGAAGTGAACCACCACCTGCAGCACGGCTCAGACAGGACCTATCTATAATAATACCTGGTCACCCTAGAAACAGGCATCCGCCGGGGGGCTGGTCAACATAAAAAGGATCCACATTTTCTTTGAAGTCAGAATGCATATGTCTCAGAGGAAAGGCTCCAACAGTCTGCACCCAAATAAGCCTGATCTGTACAATGGATATGCTGGAGGAAGACCAAAGTCTAGTCACGGACAAACAACATGGACTGTCCACTAGAGTGCACAGCCAGGTAATAAAACACACACACACACACACCCCAAAAAAAAAAGGAAGAATGAGTTACCTCCAAGTCTTTATGAGAAATATGAGACGTGATACTGTTCTATCAATTCACCTTGCTTTCTGACACATGTATTCAAGAACTCTGTTACTACAGAATGGATTCATACCTTGTCGGCAGCTTTGTTAGCCACCTCTAAATCCTTTTCTTTGACCACCAACTCTTTGCTTAGCTGATCCACTGATTCAGAAGCCTCCGCCAGCTTCTCCAGTCCCACATTCATTTTCCTTTCTAGATCCTTTAACTCTTCAACCTGTAAGTTTTTGGTCTCAGTTAAACTTCAGCAACTACTAAATGGGATATCAGAATACTGAATGAAATTGCAATATATAAAAAGTCAGACAAGTTTACAAAAGAGTAGCATTAAAAGTCCAAAAAAAAAAAAAAAAAAACACTTAACCCCCCCAAAAAAATTAATGATGATAAATTGTCAGGTAGGGGGAACCATTTTTCTATTTTATGCTGGGTCTTTCCTGTTTTTTTTTCCAGATGTATCCTTTTGGTACCCCCCCCCCCCCCCCCCCACCCAATTTTTTTTTATTAATGTCAGTTTTCCCATTTTTCCAAAATTATCGGAATAAGCTCAAGATTAGAAAATACAATTATAGTTATATATCTAGACCTTTTCAGATTTCACAGTCTTAGATTCTTTTAATGCCTGAAATATAGGTTAGTTGCGTATCCTTTACACGACGTTGCAGAACCAACCCCAGCAGCCCCTGGCTGTTGTGTGGTTTCTTTAGACAAATTTACATCCAGCAGTTTGCATTGCTTTCTGGACGGTTGGCCCCCTGATACCACTGACAAAACCAACGCAAGGCGTAGCTGGGATCGAACCCGGCACCCCGGCATTATAAAGCGTTTGCATCGACTTAGCCACAGAGCCGAGGCCTGAAATCCTAAATATGCTCATGGAAATTTTTTTTCAATGCACTTAAAGAGGATATTGTTTCATTTATGTCATGGCGACAATGGTTTGGTTATATCACTGTCCCATGAGTAATTACATTTAGCTTGAATCTGCATTATTTGAACTGCATTATTTTAGTGGTGTGTGTAGTGCAGTGTAAAGCAGTGGTGACCAGAGTAATGGTTAGAATGGCAGACAAAAACAAATTTTTTCCCCAATGAACATCTGCAGGTCAAACCTGGTAATAAAAAAAGTATAGAATAAAACTAACACAAACCTTAAGGGTGTTGTGTGGGAAGATAATATGTGGCAAGGGGGAAAAAATGGGGGTGGGGGGTTAACTGACTTGCTTGGGATGTCTCGTTTTGAGCTCAAAATATTATGGTTAATATATTGTCAGATGAATGAAGTGATATAATAATAAAAATAAGACATCACAGTATCTCTTTCCTTTACTGTTAGCATAAGCCTTTAACTTTTTGTTTAATTTTTTTTATTTTGTAATTTATATTTTATTTAGTCTGTTGGCTTTTATGGCTAAATCATTTTACAGTTGAAGAAGTCGACTCCAAAGTCAACTCCGTACTTATGAGTTTCTCCCAACATGCTTTATAGGGCGCAATATAATTAATCTTTGCTTCCTCCAAAGGTCTCGTGTAAGACAATCAGAAAATGTCTAGTATAAACTTCACAAACTGGTAAAATAGCCAGCATCTAATCTTCTTCCTATAGTCTAAGCCATGTGGCATTGGTACTCATGTCTATGCACAACCTTCTGTCTCATGTACTTTCAAGCAGTTCTAACACCAATGATCTCCCATGCAATGATGTCAAACTGTCCAGCATCTTTTCTTCCAGTCTCCCTCTGCCCTTTTTTCACCCTCCAACTTTCCCCACTGTCATGATTTGCTGCAGTTTTCTCCTTCTCACAACATGATCAATGAATATAGATTGTCTTCTACTGATGTAAAAGTAAAGTAAAGATCCCTTTTCACGCCTTTCGGCGCATCGGGCATATGGGCAGAGCGTCCCATATTTTTACAGACCATCAGCACTGTGGGTAATGTGGTCAGCATTACGCCGGCTGTCTTTACTTTCCCAGGACAGCCCATCCTGGTACCCATTTTAGGCTGGGTCGACCTGCGACGTCCCATACCACGACAAAAATCCACGCAGCCTGCAGTGGGTTTCGATCGCGGTATGCTGGCTTACGAGTGGGACTCGCAACGCCTTAGCCACGGACGCCACCTTCTACTGATGTAGGCAGTAAATACTCTGCATGAGTGAATTTCTTTCAAGACATCTTTAATACTCTTTTTATCTGTCACAGATATTCCCATAATTTGTCTACAAAAACCACATCTTCATTGCTTCCAAAAAATCTTTCACTAATCATTCAACTGTCCACCTTCAAATAAAGAATTGTTTGAGCAATTTTTTCACAAAGGTGTTACAATGAAACAAAACTAACATTGTTAAATTCATATATATATGTTCAGCTTCAAAGAACTACTTTGCTTCAAACAACAAATATAGCTGTATACATTCCACATGGAGATGAGAACTGTAGACAGGAAATGAGTGGCTTATGGGTGTATCTACTTCTTCTTTGCTTTCACCGCCTGTAAACTCTGGTGGAAAGTTCTGGTCATCTGTCCACTTCTGGAATTTGGATCCTAAACATGATTTTTGTGTGTACATCTGTTTTATAGATCTGTATTATGTGTATGCAGACTGTTGGTTCCTCCCTTCTCGGGTAGATGCACTCTGAGTTCAAAAGAAAAACACTTAATTAGTTGCATACAAATTGTTAAATATGCTTGTTGGGGTGGGTTTATTCCCCTCTCCCCTCTCAAAATAGAGCCCGGAACCTTCATGGGAAAAGGAGGAGGGGGAGGATAGGATGTTTTTTACAAGTATGGAATCTGCCCCTAGCCTTAGCAAATCTGGTTTGTTTCATTATCAACACTATGCATGTTTTAATTATTTCAAAAATAAGGAGGATAGTGGGGCATGGAAAGGGTCCTTTATACACACACACCCCTGTAGATCTTTACCATTGCTACCATTGCTATGGAGTCTGTGCGCTGTGCTGAGTTTCTCTCTTCTTGCGTAACTTTGGTAGGTGACTGGGGCACTAACAGTACAGTTAAAATGATAACTGATCAAAATCGAACCCATAAATATGAAAGTACAATCAAAAAAAAAAAAAAATCAAAGCACAAAACTGAAAGAAAACTAAGGATAAAAATCAATCTATAAAAACTGAAGCACAAAAACAAATGGAAACAAATCAATATGAAGCACAAAACCCATAAAAACATTTAAATATGGAAGTTCTGGGAAAGACTGCAAATGAAATAAGATTTAGTTGTAAAAATAAAAAAAAATAAAAAAAAAAAATAAAAATATTTTGGCCACATTAAAAGACATAACTATTCTAAAAAGCATACTAGAGGGAAAGGTTGAGGGCAAGATAGCAAGAGATAGACAATGATACAAGTGGGAGTAAAACATCAAGAGATGGACAAACAGCAGTCTGAGAGAGTGTACAACCAAAACAAGAGACATGTTAGAGATTCCTTGCAGCCAACCTTCACTGTGGAGACAGCGCTACAGAAAAAAACCAACTAATAAAACCAAAGCACAACAACCAATCTACGTTACCAAAAAGCCGAAACTAACCAACTACAAACCAGACAAACCTTTATAACATATAATGCCTTGTAGCCATCCAAAAAGGACAAATATGATTTTGGTGTCACACTTGTTTGACGGCGGAACCTGGAACATGAACATAACTTAAAATGAAAATCCTGAGTTCCCTGTGTGAGTTCTGGACACCATTGTGGGAAAACAACAACAATTTTTTTTTAAAGAAAAATATATATGATTCTGATACAAACAAGATTTAAAAAAAAAAAAAACTTGAGTTTCTGCAATAGCAATGTATTAGTCATGATGGTGGTAATGGTGGTAGTAGTAGTAGGTGTAGTAGTAAGAGTCCGAGTAGTACTATTTATAGCAGTGAAAGTAGTTACATTTTTCACACCGTGCATTGGTGTATTGGGTATATACAATGCTAAATCCATAGTTACATGCCAGATGGCACTCATCGGGTGATGTGGTAAATATACTTTACCTCCCAGGAAATTTCCTGATATCAATATTAGGCTAGACTCATCTAGAAGCCATGTACAGTTAAGCCCCAGCAAGAAATCAAAGTCAAAATTCTGAAAGCATGCATCTTTCCTCTTGCTACATACGACCGTGAGTTGTGGGCACTGACAGTAATTAAGAAATAAAACACCAGCTTTTGAGCTGAAATGCTATAGAAAAATTCTCAAAATACCATGAATCAAAAAGACAAGAAATACTGACATTCTAAAACATCAGAACATGAAGAAAGACTGGCTAGTAAAAGAACCTTGTCTTGGAAAGTAAAAATGTTTGGCCATTTTAAACAACAGGGTGGACTGGAAAGAGTAATAGCAGAACGCATAGTACCAGGAAAGAGAGGTTAAGGGCCAGCATGAAGATGGATACAAGATCTAAGTGACAGCTTGAGTACGAAAGTGGACGAGGCTAGAGAGTTGGTTAGAGACCGAGTTTCTTTTAGGCAGACCGTGATGATAAGAAAGAGACCAGTGCTGTTCTTTGGCCACATAATGAGGAGAGAGACATTGTAGAAGATCGTGACAACTGGAAAGATTAGTGGAAAAAATGGTAGAGGCAGACCAAGAGAGATGATGCTGGATGGGCTGAAACGATGGCATGGACGGAATATCATCAAGAGAGCTGTTCCAGGCAACCAGGGATCATGATCTGTGGAGACGCATGAGCGCCTACACCAGTTGGCAGGGCACATGATGATGATGAGACCATGATGAGAGTGACGTTCTGCAAAGGACCTGCTATATGACCTGATCTAGGAGCCAAGGCCTGTAGCGACTGTAAGATTGGCTCATGACTAACTTCCCCTAATTTGCCGCAGGAAAGATGCAAGTTGTCAAAATGTTCCTGTTGAGAGACCAAATGTCATGTCAAATAGCAAGGGACATGATGAAGATGATGACTTTACCAGCCATGGACCGATAAGACACTCACCTCTCAAAATAATCATTACACACTTTAGCTACTCCATCATGCACAGATCCCATCATTTCGATCAGGTTCATTTTGGCTTCTGGTGCAGCCTCCATTTTAAATGGACCCAGAAAGTGGGTAGACACTGCAACTAATGCTTCTTGTGGCCATTTGCTGAACCAGTCCATGGTGCAACCTGAGATTAATCCTGGGAACTTGAGGGAGCGAGCACGGAATTTGTTTCCTACCTGGATGTAATAATTTAAAAACAGCGTACGGTCAGGATACTCTCTTCTCTCTCCCTCTCTCTCTCTCTCCCTCTCTCTCTCTATGTGTGTGTGAGCGTACGGGTATAGGAGAAAGTGTAACCTGGGTGGGAGTATGGTCAGGTTAAAACCAACAGTAGACATCCTTCAACATGTAGAATGGTAAACACTTAATGTGGAGAACTAATGGAAGTCACCCAAGCTAGATGTTCATCTGCAGGACAACCCAAATGTCTTGAGTAAGAATTCACACTAAGGATAATTGTTATAACTGGCCAAGATTCTCATAGCTGCAGTAAGATTTGTTACTAAATAAAAAGGGTTCTTTACTTTACTTTTACTTAATTATGAAAATGATCTTTGTTTTTCTTTCTTTTTTTTAAAACTAAGTTTGGGTCAGAGTCTGTGGCTTAGATATTGTGAATGCACTTCGTAAGGTGCAAGGTGGGATATTGCCTCCTCGGTGTGCTGACTGGTTGCTAGGGGATTTTCATCCGAAAGACATAGATGACATTCTGAATGCACACAGTTGGTAACGAGTAGACGATATCCGGTTATATTCTTTATTACACTTTCACAGGTAATCTGGTTCAGTCAATGTCTACTAATAGCTAGCAGGTCCAGCAAAATAGGATGAAATTTATCAGACATCAACTTTACATCCTCTCTTGTTCACACTTGTTATCTTTCAGTCCTGTTTCCTCACACACGAATACACACAAATGGTTGATCCAACAGTTCTGATCATGGCAGTTCAACTTCTTGACTGGTTGGCACTTGTTGGCTACCACTTTGGATTAGACTGTCATACTGCGGTCTTCTCATGAACAGAAACTCCTTCACGTTGTCAAATATACACTGTCACATTCACACGTCCATCAGATACAACCTTTCACGCCAGCTGCCAAACACATACTAACTGATTAGACCTTCGTCTAACCTTATAACCCTCGTTCTGGGTTTCCCATGCTGGTCTGAGCCCTGCTTATCTATCTCGTGTTTCTACGAGTATTCACATTCTCATGGATTTCTCTCTTATCTCAGTTTTCTCCCTCATTATTGCTTAGAGAGTTCCTGTGGGAAAATACCAACATTACACCAGGTTCAATCCCATCTGCAGGCGGTTTGTTAGTATACCACCTAGTGTTGGTTTCAACAGTGGTATTGAGAGTCTGACTGACTTTTAGAAAGGAATGGCAAACTATTGCACTGCCATAAAGAAGAGTGCTGAGAAAACAAGCCTGACAGAATAGTTTTTGTTTTAATAGTGAGTCTTCTGATCTCACAAACATTTTTTTTTAAATTAATTTTGTGTGTGCTTATTGTTGCTGCATTACCTACTCTGACATTGATTTCTTGGTCCTCTGATAGTCTGCTTTTCACTGTGGATCTCATATATGTAAAATATTCAACTGTCTCCAGCTCTTCAGTTCCACCTGAGTTCCAACAATTACCCTCAGAAATATCTATACTTAAGAACTAAAGGAAGGGTGAAATAGCCAACCTACACCTTTCACAGCACAATGCAAATAGCTGAATGACTTTAGATGTATTGGACACATAGGGCTAGACCTTATTTTATAGACCAGTGGGTACTTGGTGGGCGATGTGGTCAGCATCATACCGGCCGCCTTTATTTCCCAGGACTGCATCTGGTACCCACTCAGGCCCAGATCAACCTGGAAGCCAAGGTAATTTCTGAAAAAAATCTGGCTCTGGCAAGACTCAAACCCACGACCTTCCGACCCACATGTGCGAGCGTCTAACCACTTCACTCCCAATCACTTCACCACAGGGACATAATTCTATGTCACTGTATCACACAAGAAACATCATAAGAAACAGTTCACAATAAACAACATAAGAAAAAGTAAAAATTAAAATGAAACTCATTTAGAAGTAGAGCGGAGCACTTATGGGTTACAACCCTTGTATCATGATGTTGGTCTATTGTATAAACCATGCATGTATAAATCTTTGCTATTGAATACCACAAGCAACAATTCACAATATACTATGTGGTTACTCACTGGGGAGAAACACAGTACAGTATGAAGATTTGCTCTAGCCCGGGACATGAAGTAATCATACAAGTTTTCCTGTGAAGGTGGACGTTTAGGGAACTCCTTCTTCATGACTGCAATTAATTCTCCTGTGATTTCATCAATCTCATCTTTGGCAAAGAGATTGGAAATCTAAGAAATAGCACATTGTTGTCAATTGTTACTCATAGAGGTTACAAGTTACTGTGAAAAAATTTTTTTCTTGTGATTTCATCAATCTCATCTTTGGCAAAGAGGTTTGAAATCTTAGGAATAGCATGTTGTTGTCAATTGTTACTCATAGAGGTTACAAGTTACCGTGAAATTAATTATCCTGCTATTTCATCAATCTCATCTTTGGCAAAGAAATTAGAAATCTAAGGCAAAGCATGTTGTTATCAATTGTTACTCATAGAGGTTACATGTTACTGTGAAATTAATTCTCCTCTGATTTCATCAATCTCATCTTTGGCAAGATTAATTGCGTATCCTTTACAGGACATTGCAGAACCAACCCCAACAGCCCCTGGCTGTTGTGTGGTTTTTATAGACAAATTTACATCCAGTAGTTTGTCATTGCATTCTGGACAGTTGGCTTTCTTGATACCAATGTGGAAACCATCGCAAGGTGCATGGCCCCCAGCTGGGATCGAACCCGGCATTACAAAGCGTTCAAATCAACCTAACCACAGAGCGGACCATCTTTGGCAAAGAGACTGGAAATCTAAGGAAAAGCATGTTGTTGTCAATTGTTACTCATAGAGGTTACATGTTTCTGTGAAATTGAAAGAATGATATCAGAATGACCAGGCAGAGTTAAAAAAAAAAAGACAATATTGTTTTTAAAGAAATATAATATATATATATATATATATATATATATATATATATATATATATATATATATATATATATATATATATAATTTCTTTAAAAACAATAATCTTTTCAATCTGACTATTATATCAAAGCCAAACACCTAATGGAGAAATATTAGGGAAGTCACAGGGACAAGATACTTACCTGCCAGCTTGAAGATAAATCTGAATCTGCATAAAGGCTGATTGTTCAAAACTGACAAACCACATGGGTTCTGCGGGAGAATAGACCCACTACTTTCCCCCCACATGGGTTCTAGGGAAGAATAGACCCACTACTTCTATCCTCCCCCACATGGGTTCGGGGGAGAATAGACCCACTACTTACCCCCCACATGGGTTCTATAGAAGAATAGACCCACTGCCTCCATCCTCCCCCACATGGGTTCCAGGGAAAAATAGACCCACTGCCTCCCCCCACATGGGTCTGGGAAGAATAAACCCACTGCCTCCCACCTCCCACCACATGGTTTCTAGGGAAGAATAGGCCCACTGCCTCCCCCACATGTGTTCTAGGGAAGAATAGACCCACTGCCTTCCCCAACATGTGTTCCAGGGAAGAATAGACCCACTGCCTTCCCCCTCCCCAACATGGGTTCTAGGCAAGATTAGACCCACTGCCTCCCCCCCCCCCCACATGGATTATGGGAAGAATAGACCCACTGCCTTTCCACCACATGTGTTCTAGGGAGAATAGACCCACTGCCCCAACCCCCCCCCCCCACATGGGTTCTAGGGAAGAATAGACCCAGCCTTTCCCCAACTGTGTTTCCCACCCCCCCCCCCCCCCCCCCCCACATGGGTTCTGGGGAAGAATAGACCCACTGCCTTCCAAAACATGAGTTCTGGGGAGAATGAACAAACAAACAAACTTTGAATAGACCCACTGTCGCTCCCCCCCCCACATGGGTTTCAGAGAATACCCCCCCCCCCTGCCTTCCCCCTCCCCACTTTACAAGCATATCATAAAAGGTGACTAATTTGGAAAGTTTCCTTTGAAGTTGGAATGCAACTGCCTGAGAAGCAAGGAACCAACAGTCTGCATATGAATAAGCCAATGATCAGGCTTCTAGAGTGGCGGATGTAGCTCCTCTGGGAAACTAACTAGCTTATGATGTTGCGGAGGCTATGTGAAACTAGGTGGATGGTGCAGTAGATAAGACTGAACACACATAATTGGTGAGGTGGATTAAGGTTTTTTTTTTTAAAGTGGGCAGACGGTGTTGAGGACATACAACATGCAGGGAAAAAAGACAAGCAGACCTGCATTGTGGCTGTCGCTGGCATCATTAGCAAGGACATTTTACTGGCTTTTGAAGAAAGGAATTGTTTATTGGAGACTGTTTACCAGAAGTCAAAAAGAGGATGGCTGTAGCAAAGGAAAAGGAGTAAAAAGCATTAAAAAGTCAATGGCTAAGCACCAATAAGTCAACATTTTGAGAGAATGTGTCTTTCCTGTAGCAACATACAGATGTAAGTCATGGACTATCATGCAGTAATTAATGTAGAAAATAGAGGCTTTTGAGCTGAAATGCCTTAGAAAAATTCTCAGAAGAAACCATGGACCAAGACAACAAGAAATGCTGACATCCTAAAAGATTCACAATACCAGATCCTGAACAGTCTGGCATCACGGCATGGGAGAACATGTGCATCAGAAATTATTAACTGTATACAAAACAGAAGGCTGTGGATAGGCATGATTAAGGATATCACATGACATGGACAATCAGAAGAAGAATGTGTTTTTGGTCATGTAATGAGCAATTTGTAGCCGAGGCATTGTGAATGTGCTTCACAAAGTACTCAGTTGATTCTGGCGGTATGGAGTGTTTACCATTCAGAAAACAATGGCAAACTACTGAACGTTACACCGCCCAGTAAAATCTCTAACAGTCAAACAAACTTGGTTGTTTCTGCACCTGTGGTATAAAGGATATACAATATTAACGTTTTAATAAAATGAGTAATTGGTCACTCAATGAGTAATTGGTCACTCAATGAGTAATTGGTCACTCAATGAGTAATTGGTCACTCAATGAGTAATTGGTCACTCAATGAGTAATTGATGGCTGAACGTTTTTTTGGGGCTCATACTGAGTAACTCATTAAGTATAATGCTCCCCATGTGGGTTCCAGGGCCCTGTTATAGGGAAAACAAGAATAGACCCACCGCCTACACAAAAGCATGTCGTAAGAGTAGACTAATTGGGAGCTTCCTTCAAAGTCGGAGAGCATCTGTCTGAGAAGCAAGGAACCAATATTCTGCACACAAATTAGTCAATCTGTCAAATGGATGAACACACAACACTCAAGTTCTGGAACAGGACTGCAGTCTAGAAGTGGACAAACAACCAGAACTTTCCGCCAGAGTTCACAGCTGGTGAATGTGAAGAAGAAGAAGAAGAAGAATGATGCATGCTTTGGTACAGACATTTTTTTCTAACATTACAAAACAATAATGTACACAAACTGATGATTTCCTACTTCTCCAGAACTGAGAATGTTGTTGATGTACTCCAGGAAGCTCTCGTCCTTGATTTCATTGTCAGTAAAAATAAATGTAATGCCTTTGCCTTGTTGCCCCGCCGTCCGATACAGAAACTTCAAATCATCCATCAAGTTGTTCATGTTATAGGATCTGGAAATATCAGCAGATAGTAGTGGTTAGATATTATGTTTACAGTGCCCAACATGGACATTAACAGCAAAAGGAAGAAGCAAAATAGAAACAACATAAATGAAATGACTGTGATGAATCCTGAATGTTATAGGATGACAGATGATCAGAAATGACAATATCAAGAGATAAAGTAGGGAGGGTTCCAGTGCTAAACTACACCAAGAGACAACAGTTCAAATGGTTCAGACATGCATCAAGACTATCACAGTATGAGGCAGCAGAGAGAGTGCTGTCACTTAGACATATCAGAAGCAGATCTAGAGGTAACCGATGCAAACAATGGATAAATGTATATCTATCTGCCTTTAATACCAGCATCTATGTAATATATATAAAGGCGCACACCAAATGACTTTCCAAAATCTGATGTTGAAAGGGAGAACAGAGTCTAGCATAACACACACACATACACACACATGCACATGTGCATGCACAACCACACATACGCACACACAAAGAAGGACTAAGAAATTAGTTGTAACAGAGCTTTTAGTTAAGTTTAAAACTGACATCATAGTACACGGGATATTTCCATAAGTACTATCACAATATTAGGGATAATTCCACAAGTACTATCACAGTGCTAGGGATATTTCCCTAAGTACTCCATCCCTATCTTCACCAGCCAGTGCAAAGTTCCCAAACCAGTGATGTAGTCTAATTACACATGTGCCCTGCCTTCTCTAGATGAGTGTTTAGGGTTAGCCAGATCACTTATCATTCTCTTTCCTGTTTCGGTTCCAGGGTCTGATTTTAGGGGGGAAAAGGAATAGATCCACTGCTTTCCCAACAAGCACATCATAGGAGTAAAAAAATTGAGGACATACTTGAAAGTCAGAGTCAATCTGCCTGAGAGCCAAGGAACCACAAGTCTGCAGACAAATAAGCCAGATATGTAAAACAGATGAGCATGCCACATTGAGATTCTAGAGCTAGACTAAAAGTCCGGAGGTAGACATCCAGAACTTTCTGCCTGAGTTTGCAGCCGGTGAAGGCAGAGAAGAAGAAGAATTTTGGAGAAATTTAGTTTTCTTTCACTTGCACTCAAAGGGTCGTGGGGTCACATCGACCTTGTGATGCAACAATTCAATACCAAATGGTGCAGATGGTGCAGAACCAAGTAATCTGTCTTGCTTGTTTATTTTCAAACACACAGTAAGAAAGAGTGTAAAAGAAAACGTTCTTTGAATGTCAAGAAAGTTTTAAGAATGGTTATATCAAAAAAGAACAAAATTTTGTGGATACAATAAAAGGAACAATTATCAACCAAATCAATAAAATATTTAAAGAGAAGGAGGGAAATGGTGGCAAAACAGAGAAAAAGTGATAAGGCGTGGGGGGGGGGGAGTGGAATTTAGAAGAGAAAGCTACCCAAAAAAAAAAAAAAAAGAGAGCAAAAAGGAACAGAGGGAGAAAAATGCATAGGAAGGGGGCATGTAGAAGAGAAACTGAGAAAGAGACCCAAAAAAAAAGAAAACATTTTATGCAGAATCTACCCAACAATATCAAAATCGTTAAGCTGTTTACTGCTTATTCATTTTATATACTGTAGTATCTCACGTTGGGGTGGAAAAATAAAACAGCAACAAAGGGGGACCAGTCACCTTATCTCAGTGATGGGGTCTAGTATAAACCCAGTCCTATCATTTAAAATCTGCAACAGTACTTCCTGCTAACCTACTTGTTGTTTAAATAGAACAAAAGTACTGATAATCTAAAGTGATGGTGATGTGAAAAGTCAAAAAAAAAAAAAAAAAAGTTGCAAATTACTTACTTGGTAATGGTGATGTGAAAAGTAAAAAAAAAAAAAAAACAGTACAAAATTACTTACTTGGTAATCGTGATCTGAAAACAATGATAGCCAGCAACCGAAGTTGACAATTTGGTTAGAGACTGTTTCCCAGAACCACCAACACCAACCAAAAGAGCTGCTCCTCTGGGAGTTCGGATTATACGAGATATCTGAAAGTAATGAAATGATACAACCATGGGTTGTTCACATATTTTCATCCTTATCATTCTGCTGTGCTTTTATACTTCATCTAAGGCTTGCATTCCGTTCTATCCTCGGTGACTGTTTCAACCTAATGGATAGGATTCAGTCCAGCCCCTTTTGCCTCTCTCATAAACATTACTCAGAGAATGGTGTAGGGGCCTGACACTCGTCTGTGGATCCAAAGGCCATGGGTTCAGATCCCAGTGGAGCTGGATGTTTTTAAAGCCGTTTACATTGCTCTAAAGTTTGTGGGTTGTATGCCAATGCATCGTGAGGGCTAAAGTTTTTACTTATAAGGATTTTTTTTCGTGGCAGTTGCTACTACACCTAACATCAGCTGTGGAATTGTCACATAGTATGTAGATGGGCTAGTTATGATTATATTTACACATTTACACATGCACGCACACACGCACACAGACACACACACACACACACACAAAGTATTTGAGGGATTTTGAAGGGTGAAAAGGCCTACTTTTTAGTAACTGGGATGTCTTTATGAGGTCATTTTGTTCCATATGGTTGGCTAAAAAAAAAGGAAGGTAAGAAGTTAATTTTCTACTCCATTTGAGGGATTGTGAAGGGTGAAAAGGCATACTTTTTAGTAACTGGGATGTCTTTATGTCATTTTGTTCCATATGGTTGGCTAAAAAAAAGGAAGGTAAGAAGTTAATTTTCTACTCCATTTGTATTTATGGATTACTTTCACTCAGCCAAAGCTGTACAATATGAAAAAATATCAGATTCTTTAAAAAAAATGTGGGTGGGGGTGCTGCGATATCCCACTGTCTAGCAGACTTGCTTGCGTGGTGTTCACAGGTTTTAACCTAAGACTCCACATTGCTGTGGCTTCTTCTTTTTCCTTTAGTTTCCTTGTGGTAGAATTTTAATGAATTATTTGGATGTATTTATTTTTTTAACATGCAATGGGATATGGCAATTTTTTTCAAAGAATGTTACGGGAAGTAAGTGTTGAAAGTCATAACTCAGCCTTTTAGAGGATTTATCAATCAACAAAACCAATGCCCTGATTTAAGACTGTTATCTTTTTCAGCAATTAATTTCTTCACTTGTTAATATGAATTCCAAATTTTCATCTCTTGTAATGTTGCCAAAATGTTTATTGTTTCCATAGATTTCTTTGTCGTCAGCTGGCATACAAGAAAGGAGCAGACAATTCAGCTTGCTGACATCTTCAAGGCATCTGCCCTCATAAGATATTGGTTTAAGTCTAAAAAGTATTCTATAATCTGTATATATTGGCAGCAGGGAAAGATTGAGGCCTAGCTTCATGACCCAGGTCGGCCCAACTTCTGAGATTGTATAGGAAGTAATGGGTTGAAACAATCATCAATGAGGGATCTTTCTACTGATGATCGGTGGACCCCTGCTGGCATGCTCCCCTGGGGAGTTCTTCTTATTGCTGGCCACTTTTCAGCTTGGAATTATCAGTTCTACGCTTGAGGTCATCCTTATCTCCTATCTTTACTTTATTAAGCCAGTGGTATTTCAGCCTTTTTCTGTACGATGCATGAGACACTTTTCATTTGCACTTGGATCTACCTTCTCAAACCATTTCCATTAAAAGAGAATCATTAGTGCTAACCTTCATAAGGTGGATCATTGCATCTTTGAAAAACACCAAGTCAATTTTAGATCCCCGAACTTGTTCATTGTAGTCTTTCATAAAGAGCTTAAGGCGTGCCTTCAGCACATCATAATCCTCAATCTGCAGGCAAAATAAGTTTGCAAATGGATAATGTGGATGAATAATGACAAAAATCAGACACTAACATGACAGTGTGAAATGGGAGTAAAACATAGTGAGCCACATCAACGGGGCCTTCCAGGTTGATCCACAACCAGCTCCTACAGGGAACAGTCAAGTACCTTGGAGTGGCTGCTGCATCAGAGGACTGCGCACACATGCGGATGTGGATCTGCAGTAATGCTGATTATTAACATAAAATTAATATGTAATGATAAAAGCTCAATTTTATGTACTGCCCACTTTAAAGGCTTTCTAGATATTTGGTGCAGATTTTTGTTTGTTTATTTCAAATTTGTGTGTATGTATGTATGTGTGTGTGTGTGTGTGTGTGTGTGTGTGTGTGCTCGTGTGTGTGTAAAAAGCAAACTTGTCCAAACTGCTTCAAAGAAACATGCAGAAGAATTATAACCAACACAGAGCAAAGGGAAGACCATGTCAAAGATAGAACATGGGATCAAAAACAATTTAAAATAAATGGAGATAAATAAGATGATTCTACATTCCCTTTATAGTGGAAAAACACAGAAACAATTAACTTTTATTCTTTAACAGAAAGAAATCCAGCATCAAATATTTAAAGTGGTAAAAGTTAAAGGTCATTTGCCAGGAGCCAGTCACCATTGCAAGATTAATCAGCAGAGATACCTTGAAGTGGCTGCTGCATTAGAGGACTGGGCATTCATAAAAATGCTCAATCTGCAGTGATGTCTATTGTGATAACATAACCATAAAAGTTAAAGGTTAAAGAGAATAGGCCTCAACCAACTCAAAATTCTGTCATCTTCATCTGCTAACTCCATTCACTTCTTCTTCTTTTAGTGCATACCATGTGGCCTGCACAACCTTCTATCTTGTGTACTTTCAATCAATTCTGACACAGATGATCTTCCATAGACCATGCTGTGTGGCACTGGTAGTCATACCTATCCATATCCTTCTACCTCATGTATTTCAATCAGTTCTGTCATAGATGAACATGCAGCACATTAAAGAGAGGGTTGCTGCAGTAACCGCAAATGTAACTGCAGATATGATTCAGATGTGGCAGGCGACTGAAATCTAGAAATCAGCAGAGCTATTGCTGGTGCATATATCAGAGTGTACATGTACTAAGGTAAATCTAAAACTGTAAACTTTTCTGAGCATCCTAAAATGCCACACGTGTATATCATTATTATTTTATAATAGTTAAAATTCCGGCAATCATTCTTAATGACCCTGTACACAATTCTTGCTTTCTTTTTTTTTACGGATAGTTGCTTAGTTAACATTTTGAATCTGAAATTTTAATGTAACCTTTAACCACTTTTGTGCCTATAGTGTCTCTACTGAACTCCTTCAAATCAAAGTATGTATTGCTTACGAGCTCAATTCTTTGTGAAGTCAAACTAGCAACTGCTTGATATTAAGAGCTAGTGAATGTGTGTAGATTATTAGAAAGGCTGAGAAGTAGGTGACATGGTCACCTCATATCATCTTGCCATGACCTAGTACAAGTTGAAAGATAAACTTCACATCCCCTATAGTAGTGCTTACTATAGAACTGACATTTTCTTGTCATAAACAATAGGTTAAACTTATATTCTGAAACAAAAAGAAAGTTCAGAAATGGTTGAACAACCATAATTTTCTGCCAGAGTTTACAGCTGGTGAATGCTAAGAAAAAGCAAAAGAAGAAGGGCATCCAGCACTTTCTTTGTTTGCAGCACAGAAAAACACTTCAGTCAAGCTAGAGCTCACCATTTCATAAACTTTGGGTACTACGATCTCCTCATCAGCAGCCGCTGCAGCACCACCACCTTCTTCATCTGGAGCTTCCTCTTTGGCATCTCTCATAAAGTCCACAAAATGAGGCAAGGGGACCATCATTCCTGCCACGTCTGGTGATATCTCATCAGAGATTACAGAAAAAACTGTTTTCTGGAACCATGTTTTGTCTTCATCATTGACAAACCTAAAATCAGAATTTAAAAAAAAAAAAGAAAGAAAAAACATCAGTAAGTACCATAAAGGTACAGCTGGTAATTTAAGAATTATTTTAACAATAAAAAAAAAAGTCCTCAGTAAGAACTATAAAGACACAACTAGTAACTTCAGAATTATTTAAAAAAAAAAAAAAACTTCGGCAAGAACTATAAAGACACAACTGGTAATTTAAGAATTATTTCAACAATTAAAAAAAAAAAACATCAGCAAGAATCATAAAGACGCAACTGGTAACTCTACGATTATTTAAAAAAAATTGTATGTGCCATCTCCACAGAGAAAGTTGGCTACAGTGTACCACTGTTGTCTTTAGAAGTATTATGTGGTGAGTCCCTAATCTCTTCCATGGTACGACTCACCTAACATTATCTGAAAACCATTAGAACAAGTATATTAAACTTCTGCAATCACCCTAATTAGGGCGACTGACTTGTTAACGGTTTACAGCTAGGCTGCCATATTTGTGTCTTTTGGTGCCAACCATTCAGCAAACACCTAATTAGTTGCCTTACTCACGATTCTTTTTTCTTCTTCTTCTTCTCTTCCACCTTGTACCTCATCGAAGTGTTGGCGGGAGATGTAATGTTCGTTGATAAGCTCTGTCAAGAGCACTATTAAGACTGATGTTCATTTCTGTAAGGCCGTTCTTAATACCATCACTCCATCTTTTCCGAGGTCTTCCACTCGCTCTATACCCGTTGTAACATTTTAGTTTGGCTCGCTGTGACGGATAGTAGCAGGGCATTCTTGTTAGGTGTCCAAACCACTTCATGTATTGTTCTTTGATGACCTGTAAGACTGGTTGTATTCCTGGCATTTGTCTGATTTCATGACCATTCTTTTTTAAACCCTAAAAATGAGGTCCTGGAACCTACTTGGGGGAAATCCTTCAATTAACCACCTAAAAAGCTGTCAGGTCTACCTAAATTGACTTATCATCATGTAGCAGGTCCTTTGCAGAACATCGCTCTCATCATAGTTTGCTTGAAAAAAACTAGGTCTCTCGCCAGCTCTGTCACCTCGTTTATTTTCATATTCAAGGAGTCACTTATATCCTGTGCCTCTGCCCCTCCTTCCTGGTACCATGTCTTCTGCTATTATTTTTTCTAATCCGCCATAGTGCTTGATGTGACTAAAATATTTCATCTTCCGAGACAAGATGCTGTTTATTAGTCAATTTTCTTTGATGTTCAGTTCTTTTAAAATGTCAGTATTTCATCTCTTACAGCATAAGACAATCCCAATCAGCACAAAGAGACATCTTATTCAAAGCATATTTATTCCAACTCTGTGCTACCAGTGCCAGACATGGTCACTCACAACAAACCATAAAAGAAAATTAGTAACCACGGAAATAAGATGTCTGAGAAGGGCTGTAGGAGTGACCATAAGAGATAAGATCAGAAATGAGATCATAAGAGAACAAGTCGGCACAGAACCAATTCTGGATTACATACAAAGACAGCAAGTGAAATGGTTTGCCCACTTAGAGAGAATGCCTTGTGACACCATACCATACAAAGCATACATGGGAAGAGAAGAAGGACATAGAGCATGGGGTAGACCAAGAACAAGATGGAAGGATAACATCAGAGAAACTCTACAACAGCACGATGTGCCTATGGTCAAGGCAGCCAGAAGAGCTAGAAACAGAACCTTATATCTCCCTCGACACCCACAGCGGTAAAAGAGGAAGTGAAGAAGAAGAAGAAGAAGTATTTCATCTCTCCTTTGTCCATGGTATTCTGAGAATCTTTCTATAGCATTAGCTCAACAGCCCCTATTTTCTTTCTAAAGGACTAGGAGATAGTCCACAACTCACATCTGTATGTTGCTACAGGGAAGATGCATGCTCTCAACATTTTAATTTGGATTTCCTTGTTGGTGTTTAACAATTGACCCATAATGACTAGATTATATAAATCCACATACCCACCCACACTGGTTAAATGTTAAAAGTTAAAGTTGAGAGGACATCTTCAGTGCACCTGGTTTTATCCTATACCGCTCAGTCTCTCTCCAGAGAATGGCCAGCTGCTTGCTGAGAGCACCACACAAAACGTGAACTCCATATCTCCGGCGATGATCCTCAGGGATCTCCATTAAATTGCACTCATGAACCAAACAATGCAGCCGTGAATCGAACCTATAACCTTCAGAGTGTGCGACAAACAGCTTAACCACTTTGCTATGAAGACCTTCCCACCCACACAGGACAGCAGGTTACCTCATAAAGGTCAGGTGCCCCAGTAAAACTTTTTCTAAAGTTAAACTGGGTTCCTGGCATCAGCTTCCGTTCTTCTTCTTCTTTTCTTTTCTTCTTCATGATTCGTCTGAGCAACATAATCGCACTGTGCCTCTCAACAGCATAGCTGTTGAAAGTATAGCTGATATTTGCACCTTTTGGCTGACACACTATACTTAAGATGCCATTCATTGTCCAGGTTAGCCTTCCCAGTCATATAAGTTCAAAAATTTTTTTTACTTTTAACTTGCTTTCATGTGTTGTGGCTGCAATCTTACAGGGGAAACATTTTTTTAATGGTTAGACTGGATGCTACCCTGGTCTCTATTGCTGTTATAGGGAGGGAAGGAATATTCTGATATGAGATACTTTACTGTTAAGACAACGACATCTCACCTGTCTTCAATGACTCTGCAGACTTCATGCTTCCATAAATTGATCATTGTTCGTACACTGTTACATTCGTCACCTTGGATATACAAGATGCCTTGCCAGATTCTGGACAAATCTCTCAGATTAAAGATGTAATGAAATTTGGCTGGTGTTGGCAGCATTTTTATCTGAGGCACAAAGAAACACATAGGAAAACTTTTGTTTTAAAAATAAATATATGCCATATAGACAGTCTAGTACAAAAGTATGTAAAGTAATGTAAAAGAACCTTTTTCACAAAAGTGGTGCATCTGGCATATGATGCTGTATTTATGTTTATAGTCCAGCTAAAACTTTGTGGCTCATGTGGTCAGTATCAGGTTGGTCATTTTTACTTCCCATTACCTGGCACCCATTTGTTAGGGTGTATAAACCTGACAAGGTCAAAGGTGAATTTTAAAAAATCAATCTGTCCTGATTTAAATTCGAACCCAAGAGCTTCTGTCTGGAGCATCTAGCCACTATGCTACTAAGGCTTATGTGTTGGTTGATACGTGCATTTTACTGAAGAACCATGCTGTCTAATCTACAGGGTGTCACATAAGTTTTCACACATAGGGAAAAAAAACACATAGGACAAATAAACATATTTTAATGAAAACTGCTAAAGAACATATATAACCACAAATGGAGTTGTGTTTGTAATGTCTATTTTATCAATGTAAATAAATTTTGAGACACCCTCTAGAAGTCATAGTGGATTTCATTCTTTCAGTCCAGGCATTTATTAATTTAACACTGTCCACCCTAAAATGCAACCTATAAGAATGTGTTTTTAATCTTATGGAACTGAAGACCACAGGTATGAAGCAGAAAGAGTTATGGCAACATTTGAGACAGAACTGGTAAACACAATAGAAGATTGAAACAGAAAGAGTAAAGAAATATATACGACATAAAGAGTCATGAATGAACATATAATGAGTCCCCCGGTACTGAAAGATTTAAGTATGGCCTCATTACAAACTGTTTCTATTTAAGAGACATAGTGCTGTTTATATGGCAGTTTTATTTAATTTTCAAATCTTGTATAATGTGAGGAACTTATTTCTTGATCCAGGGTATTATAAGACTTTTTTGTAACATTGAAATGTAGCAACTTGATATCTTGGCATTAAGCAGTTCTAATTTTCCCCTTCTGTGATTCTAAAATGGCCCAAGACTCATGTCTGCAAGCCAAAAATTCACCTCACAAAATGTAGAAAACATTTCTGAAGAAAATAAAGTTTAACAGTATTATCAAATCTTCTTTTTCAACTCTTTCAGTTCTGGGAAAGGAAAACAAGCAAATCAAAAACAAGCACGTATTTTGCTTTCACAGAGAAAACTGCAGAAATCAGATTTGTTCGGAATTAAGGTGAAGACTGCGGCTTAGTTGTAAACCATAATAGAATGTTATTCAGAGTATCTGAATTCTCATTGCACCGTATCTGTCACAACTACAACCAACAAAATGTAAACAGGATAATATTACAAATAATAATGATAAAAACTGCATATATTTGTGAAAGAAATCTTTATACAATACAATAGCAACATCTTATACCTGCAGAGATGTGATTTCTAAGAATATATATTATAAACAATAAAAAATATAGAGAAACAGATAAAAACACCAAAATGAATTTTTTTTTCCCTACAAGGGGAAGTCAAAAATTATCTACACTTTTTGACATAACTCTTCTTACATTGTCCACACTGACTTCTGTCCTCGCTTATTTTATTGTTATACTGTTCTGATAATGCTATGAAAGTTTGATTCAAATTCTGCCATTTTTCTTCCTTCTGTTGCAGAGAGATCTTGGCCGCTCCCTTAGAAGTTCGCACCAAAGAGGAACAACAAGCAATGATATCATTCCTCTGGTCGGAGGTGTCAAAGGTTAAGAAATTCATGCCAGACTATCATTGTAATATGGCGGGAGTGTATTTTCAGTGATATCATTCCTCCGGTCGGAGGTGTCAAAGGTTCAGAAATTCATGGCAGACTATCATTGTAATATGGCGGGAGTGTATCACCATGTAACACTGTGTTTTTATGGATTGAGACATTTAACAATGGTCGAACAATTGTAACGCATGAAGAGGGAGCAGGACGGCCATCGACCTCCATTAAAGTTGATAACATTCAGCAAGATCTCTCATGGTTCTGGTGAATAAGCGAATTACCATCAATGAGGTAGCATCGGGGTTAAACAATAGTCATGGTTCTGCCCATCAAATCATCCATGACGAACTTGGCTTTCATAAAGTCTGTGCACTGTGAGTACCAAGAACGCATACTGCAGAACACAAGCTCTCTCGTGCAAAATGTGGTACAAAAGTGGCATCATGATCAACTGAAAACTATTCAAAGGAACAGGTAAGCTTGTTGACCGTTGGGCAAAGTGCATTGATAAGGAGGGAGATTACAAAATTATGTGCATGGTGAAACCCTAGCTTCATGTACATAAAGTGAAGAATGGACATTGTAGATAATTTATGACTCTCCTTTGTACATATAGATTGTAAAGATGCTTATGGGCATATCATGAGAAGAAATAAAAGTAAAAACTTAAAGACAATTGAAAACTTGATGGAAAGAGGTAATATAGTAGTAGTACATTTCACCCCACAGGGACATCACACAAGGGATAAACACCCGATGACACAAAGTGCCCCCATGTGGATGAGGATCACCCGTGGAGAGGTCCCAGAAACCGCGCTCAGCCATTAGACCATATATTATGGCCTGGTTATATTGCGGCCCCTTGGCAAGAGCCAAGGTGGGGCTTCAAAATAACGAAAAATTGCATCCCACAGGGGGATGACTAGAATTGAAGAGGTAATGATGAGGAGAAAATATTCGTGGTAGTTCTCTGCCTCTCTGCTTATTTCTCAAAGAAAAGATTAAAAAAAAAAAAAGTAAAGGACTTCTTTTTTAATGCCAATAGTGCATGCAACATATAATGGTGCAGGCTCAACATTGTATAGACCAACTGGCCCTTCATGGGTAATACTGTAAACGTTGTACTGGTCACCTACTTTCCTGGACATTACATTTTAGGGTGGGTCAGTCAGGGAACCCATGTCAATTTTGAAACAAAAGCCTCTCAGTGTGAACTCAAACTTAAACTTTCTGGCTAGGAGGTGAGAGTCTAGCCACGATGCTACAGTGGCTCCCCACTGCTTCGTAATTTCCCACACAAAGGAACTTCCTTTATTTTACCTTATCTGTTGACAAACCTAATAAATGTCATTTGTTTTTATCCTTATGGTGTTGAAAACAAAAATGATTTTGCAACTCTACAGCTCTCAGTACACCAGCATTTGATTTCTTCTCTGCCCACTGTATCGTCAACTTCAACTTACAAAAACCATCATCCCTTCACCTTAATGGAGCCATAGAGAAAAAAAGGTGCAAAAATTAACATTTTTTTTTAAAGGTGCAGGCACTCACCATAGAGTGTCTTAAAAATTGCCAGTACTCACCACAAAGTGTCTTTCAAGTAGTTAAAGAAAAAAATGATACCTAAAAATAAGGTGCCGGTACTGTGTGCTGCCAGATAACAAGTCCTGGTCTACTGAATGGCAGACGTGAACATTATGGTACGCCTATCAACTTTATGGAAAGTTAAAAGGAGCAACCTAACAATACCATGTGGTATAAAAAGCAGTTAAAAACTAAGAACTATTTTCCTGCCACTGGCGAATGAGGCATATAGTGCTAAACCCATACTAGAAACCAACTGGCACTCAATGGGCGATGTGGTCAACATTATGCTGGCCATTTTTTTTCCACTCTGAGCTGCAGCGACCTGGGAGCCTCAGGGAGGACTCAAACCCCAGACCTTAAGTGTCTAGCCACTGCAGTATCATGTCTTTTCTACCCCAGGATACTGCAGAATAAAACTAGAAAACCATAAATAATAAAACAATTGTAAACATAAATTTAAAAACATGAAATCTCACTTTAGTCTTCTGCCACAGAACACGAGTAGCAGGCACTAGTTCTTTCACCAAGTCGACCACTTCACTCACAAATCGAGTGCTACAAAAGTATCCTTCACCAATAATACCTAAAGGGAAACAAAATTCACACATACAATACCATAACATTTTTAAGCAAGCAGTCACAATGTAGTGGCTATAAGGCTTGACTGCTGGTCCCATCGTGTTGTGCTGGTGATCAGTGAAATGAAAATCACTTGTAGAATGTAAGTAAGTATTTTATTTCTAGATTCATGGTATTGTGAGCTTGTAATAGTGTTCTAGAACCATCAGGTCTTTGTTAGGAGACAGGATATTGCACACAGTTAGAACAGACTCAAAATCAAAAAGTCTTAGCAACACTGAGCTTCCTTATTTAGAACCATCAAATGTTGATTAACAGAGGGATAGTAGGCAACTAAATAACCCATTCATATAGATAATATTTAGTGTACTTTTGTTGACATGTTTTATCAAAGAGATCTCGGTAGTACACACTTTCTAGAAGATACTAGAACAACGAATCTCAACCTGTTGGTCGCGACCCTGTGGGAGTCGAATTACCCTTTCACAGGGGTTGCGGAAAACAGATATTCAATGAAGTTATCAAGTAGTAACAAAAATAATTGTACAGCTAAGGGTACAAAATGAGGAACAGTATTAAAGGGTCACCACATTAGGAAGGTTGAGAGCCACTGCCCTAGAAGATCCTAGAAGGTCAGTTTGTCCTGTGCAGATCGTGCTCTAAAACACACCAAAATTGATTAGGCAAATAACACATAATAACGGTTATGTATAGTTGTTAGAGATCAAGTTAAAAGGAGTTGCGGCTATGACGTCCAGGAAGGTGGAAGTGTGGACTGGCCTGGTCGATCCCAGAGGAGGATTTTTCCCTGGGATCTCATCATGATTATTAGCTTCAATGCTGAGCCTTAAATAGGCATGTTATGCGTACGGAAGAATTCGCAGTCAAGATGTCAAAAGAGGTGGACTTTTATGTCCTAATGTGGCTCATCCTTAGGGAACATTTACCCCGGGATCCCACGAAGAAATCACTTTTAAGCTGGGGGCGTTACTGTCCTATCTGCATGATGCAGGATTATTAAATATGGATGCTATCGCTCAGCGTGACTGCTGAATAATTTTGAAGTAACAACGTAGTTGTGTTCATCAGTATTTGGCTGCATACTGACTTGGAGAAACTGTTTCAAGATCGAGCTCCTAACCTACAGTGATTGATGGCCAATATTATACATGAGATATTACAGTATAAACCAATGTTTCCCAAACATTTCTTAGTCGCGGTGCCTTTTTTCAATGAAAATTTTTTCAACTGCACCCTGACCTAAGTAGAAGTATGACTATTCGTAAGGTAAGAAATAAAAAAAAAAAAAAAGTGTGTATCTTCAAATATTTTGCAGCTCTCCTGTGAAGAGGCCACAGCCTTGCACAGCTTGGGAATCACTGATATAAACAGTTCACACATGAGAAGAGATGTTTCAAGACATGTATTATACAGCACAAAAGCAGCACTTGTGTGTCACATGCCACAAGCAAGAGAGACCATCACTATCACTGCCACTATTGGCACAACCATCTATCTCCTTGCCTATAATCTTCCAATAAACTCATCCTGTCAGTAAACCAAAGACGAAGCTGGGTGTGACATCAGCATACACAAAGAAGATAGCTGTGCTACAGATTGTTTCTGTATCATTTAAATATAACAACCATTTTCTTCTTAGCGCCTGCCAGCCGTAAACTCCGTCAGAAAATTCTTGTTATTTGTCTACTTCTAGACTTCAGTCTTGTTCCAGAATTGAGTTTTGGATGAAAATTTCAAAGATCTGGTTTACTTGTATGCAAACTGTTGGTCTCTTGCCTCTCAGGGAGAAGCACTCTGACTTTAAAAGAAAAAGGGTCAACCTAAAAGATATGGTAAATTTGGCAAAATCTACCCCAGTCAGATTTAAACCTATCCACTGTGTTACCAAAGCATTACTGACTAGATTTTAAATATTCTTCTTAGTACTAGGTTTGTTATAAATGTTTACCTACCAAAAATCTTATCAATAGAGCTATTTGAAGGCAGAGTACAGTTGAAAATACAAAACTGCCGTTTCAGTCTCTCAGGGATGTCATTACGACCGCCACCAGGATGGATCATGGCAGCCATGAAGGATATGTCGATAATATTTAAGAACTCTCCTGGTTTGTCCAAGCTGTACATCCCTTTCATCTCCATCATCTGACGGGTGATTTCATTTGTAACCTGAAAATAACCATCAGTGAATCTTCTTCAGAAGTATCTAAGATACAAACCATAAAAATATCAATGCATGAACACTTATATGAAAAAAATATCATTCTAAGCACTAAAAAAATAGTTTAAATAGCTGTGCAGAAACTGTGCTTAGAATCTGTCTTTGCAGTTTGACTTATTAATAACAGTAAAGATTTTTTTTCAGTCACTGAAGACTGTCCAAACAATATGCCTGAGGAGGTAAATAACCTATATAATGAGTGCATTATTTTTAAACTAAACTCCACACACTGAAAGCACCCATTAGGAAAGCCAGATTTCTTTAATGTAGTCTGACCAACTGTGAAGTTAAGAGAATACAATGTGTGATGACTGGCATTATGAAGAATTTTTATTAAGAAACAAAAATACATCTCCAGCTTGGAGCAAAAAGATTTAAGATTGAAAGACAGAAAGGCTTTGTTTTATAAACCTCAATATACTTCATGTCACTTTTTATAGTAAAATCCTCATCATCAATCAATCAGATTGAATGTCGGCTGCAATTGATCTCCAACACACATTGTCTCTAATCTGGTTGTACACTTTCTCAGATTTCTATTCATTCATCTCCTGATGTTCTCCTCCCACCTGTAACGTTGTCTACCTCTTGCTCACATGCTCTCAACATTTTCCTCCAGTATGGTTTGTAAAAGAGTTTTATGTCTCTGCATTCATCAGATCAGGCAAATGTTGCTACACTTTTTTAGACTAATCGGCGTGATGCAGTCAACACTATCCTGCCAGCTGCCTTTACCTCCCAGGACATTACCTGGAACTCATTTAAGACTGAGCTGACCTGGCAGCCAAGGTGAATTTTTAAATAAATACGTATAATGTATATAACATATAAAATATTTATTTCTATCAAAGATCGTTGTTACAGTAACTCAACAATATCAGAACTGTTAGTGTAGACTCTACTGCCCCCATAATGTTAATTAACCTCCTCACAAGACAGAAATATACCATTATATTTAGACTGAGTACTGGACACAAAAGACTGCAGCCACACGTACCAGAAATTCAAAGATCTGGGATTCAGAACTTTATCAATGTGGACAAGCCACCCCAGAATACTGAAAATGTGCTAGAGACACATGCTCTCTACATGCAGCAGAAAACAGGATCTGGCTAACGCTCGACACTCGGGGGAAAGGCGAGACGAATTTACAATCAGACAGTTTCTGGTACCATAGGAATTTTAACTCTTCGCTTGTTGCTGAAGATGGGGACACAGTGCTTATTTAACATTCAACATGCAGCAGATCCCAGGTCCGGCCAGTTGGCATTCCAAAGGAAACCAAGCTGTATGGAACAGTGGAAGACATGCATCACACCACAAACTTCCTAGAGGCCTGTGTCCTTCTCATTTAAAAACCACTGGCACAGACAATGAAAAGAAGAAAGCAGACTGGAACTGAAAGACTTTATAGAAAAGTGGAAGATAATGATGATGATGATCAGGGCCATATTTAGGATGTATGATAACCCTGTGCGGTTGTTTATTCGACACCCCCTTTTCCTTCGACTTGACCTTAGCATTGCTATTCATTTACAGACAGCCAACAATATGTTGTGGAATTATTTGCTTCAATTTTTAAACAGTATTATTTAAACTTAACAGAAAACATACACATAGACATATGTGCAAGCTGGGGGTCCTAATGGAGCAATGATGAGCAATACAAGATTCAACTTTCAAAATGATAAATGCAATAGAGATATCAATGTTTAAAAAAAAAAATACTAGTTATATATATACATTTCACAATCAAAAATTAAGAAATAGAAAATGTAATAGATTTAGAATATTTGTGCTCTTTAGTGAACAACAGTGGCGACTGCTCAAAAGAAGTCAGAAGAAGACTTGCATTAGCAATGCAGAGATTAAACAGCATAAAGAACCTATGGTAAAGTGCTAGTAAACTGGTTAAAGTAAAAATCTTGAGCTCATGCATTTTTCCTGTGGCAACTTATGGTTGTCAGTCTTGGACTCTCACTCAGTCACTGAGGAAAATGATAGGAGCTTTTGAATTGAAATGTTACAGAAAAATTCTTAGAATACCATGGATCAAGAAGAGGAAAAACATCAACATTCTAAACCAGTTAACATCAGGAAAAAACTGGCTCATAAACAGCATCCTGTCCCGAAAGTTGAAGTATTTTGGCCACATCAAGCGTCATGGTGGCTTGGAAAAGACGGTGATGGAGGGTACAGTTTGTGGAAGGCTAGGCAGGGGTCGAACACCGCGAAGATGGATACAGAACATTGAAGATGCATTGGCATTAAAAGCACATGGGGCCAGAGAGCTGGCTAGGGAAAAGGATTCTTTCAGGCATGCCGTGAAGAGAGTGATGTTCTGTAAAGGACATGCTGATTGATGATGATTAGTTATATTTTGCTGTTTTAAAAATGTGCCTCCCTGTTCAGCTACACGTTTTGCAAAAAAGCCTAAATATGGCCCTGATTATGATGAGGATGATGATGACCTATGCATGGTCCAAGATCTAGCCTCCCTTCTCTCAAAAACTAATTAAAGAACAGTGCTAGTTACCTGGTCACCCCATTCATTGATAACAGGCATGTTAATATCATCTATAAAAACTGTCATGGATTTTCCACCTGGGGGTCCATATGTCGTACCAACTCGTTTTTCAACAAAACTTTCAATGGTTCTCTGTGAATATTGCCAGAAACATGTACATATGTTGACTGTTTTATTCAGTAACTATCAAATAAATATAGAAAATGTAACTGCATCACAAATTCAGACTAGAGAGGTACAAATGTGCTGCCTTGCATGTAGATAGGGATAATAAAATATTCAGAAAAGAAGGCATGGGAGGCAGTAACATGTTCAGGCTTGTAGACTGAGGACAGTAAAATGTTCAGGCATGTAGACTGAGGACAGTAACATGTTCAGGCATGTAGACTGAGGACAGTAAAATGTTCAGGCATGTAGACTGAGGACAGTAACATGTCCAGGCATGTAGACTGAGGACAGTAACATGTTCAGGCATGTAGACTGAGGACAGTAACATATTCAGGCATGTAGACTGAGGACAGTAAAATGTTCAGGCATGTAGACTGAGGACAGTAAAATGTTCAGGCAGGTAGACTGAGGACAGTAAAATGTTCAGGCATGTAGACTGAGGACAGTAACATGTTCAGGCAGGTAGACTGAGGACAGTAAAATGTTTAGGCAGGTAGACTGGGAAGAGTAACATGTTCAGACATCAAAACTGAACACAGTAAAATGATCAGACATGTAGAATGGGGACAGAAAAATGTTCAGGCATATAGATGAGGAAAGTAAAATGTTCAGGCATGTAGGCTGAGGAAAAATGTTCAGGCATTTAGACAGAGGGCAGTAAAATGTTCAGGTTTGTAGACTGGGGATGGGACAGTACAATGTTCAGGCATGTAGACTAGGGACAGTAAAATTTTCACATATGAATACTGATAAGAGTAAAATATTCAGGCACGCAGACTGAGAACAGTCAAATGTTTAGGCTTGTGGACTGAGGAAAAAATATTCAGGCATGTAGATTGAGGACAATAACATGTTCAGGAATGAAGCTGGAAGAAATACAATATTCAAGAATGTTCAATGAGGACAGTAAGATGTTCAGGAATGAAGCTGGAAGAAGTACAATATTCAAGAATGTACAATGAGGACAGTAAGATGTTCAGGAATGAAGCTGGAAGAAGTACAATATTCAAGAATGTACAATGAGGACAGTAAGATGTTCAGGAAAGAAGGCATGTAGACTTTTGATAATGTTCAGGCGTGTAGACTGAGAACAGGAAATAGTTCAGGAAAGTAAGCTGGGAGCAGTACAATATTCAAGAATGTACAGTGAGGACAGTACAATGTTCAGGAAAGAAGGCTGGGCCAGTAAAACTAGCTGTGTGTTAGACTTAATCATGGGTGATGATTCCACATTCTATACTCTGTATGTCCAAATGAGCGTACCAAGTATGGTCAGTTGTTGCCCGATTGAAGAAAGCAAAATCACTGTGTCATTAAATCTTCTAAAATTTGGTCTTAGGATTCTAAAGAAATCTGGCTGACATATGAACATGAAAAACAGTCTATGTTGTGTCTACAAAATTAGGTCTAATGTGTTTTCATTGTTGTTATTGTCCCTTTGGGCAATGAAATCTCCCAGGAATAAAGGAGTTAACTCTTACAATTTCTCGTTCTTTTTCTTCCTTGCTTGACATGGGTGTGTCCTGTCTAATCCAATGGTAAAATGATGCTCTGTCCAGACCAAGCCCCAATCGTGTTTGTTTCTCTGGGTCATGAATATCACAATATAAATGACCCATCTCAGATTTCCTGAAGAAGTGCTGATACAGTAAAACCGTAATCCATGGCATAGTTATAAATTTGAACCTCAAATTCATTTTTAAATTGATGTCTGTATCAGCTTTTATAAGCTAGCTATATGACACAATAACTCAACACTAATTTGTTGATGCACCTTTGAAAAACAACCTCAACCAAAGTCTTATTTTGGCTTCAGGTCACTAACAGTGCGACTTTGCATGAAAAAATCATTAAATTACGTAGGTTTTCTTTGACCCCCTTTTAAACCAGACATAGTGTACATTACTTCCTGAAACTAATGAAAGTAAACCTTCCAAAAGTCTACCGAGGCGGTTTTATGATAAAAAATATATATCGTAAAGAAAAAAGAAACTACATATGATATTCTTCATTAGTGAACACAAAATATTTCCTTAATGTCATGGATATTCTAAGGCTGCATGCAAAAAATCATTGTGATCTAACAGGCAGTTTTCAAGAAAAATGGCTTGTATATATGTTTATGAACTATTGAACGAACTATAATTAGGGGTTTCCAGTCAAAGTCGAAAAGCATCTGCCTGATAGGCAAGGAACCAAAAGTCTGCATAAAAAAAGGTAGATCTGTTGGATGTGCATACAAAACTCAAATACTGGAACAAGAAGTCTAGAAGTGGATGAACAATCAGAAACATCTGCTAAAGTTTACAACCAGTTACAGATAAGAAGAGGAGGAGGAATTTGTTGGTGTTGAACTTAAGACTTTTAATGATTTTTAACTCTTTAAGTCCCAGGGTGTTTAGCATCACAGGCCCAGGTGGTAGTGAAGAGAGCCATAAAATCGGCGCATTATGTGTTCATTGGGCTTCTAGGTAGGAACCTATGAATGTATGATGTGTTCCTTGAGACTCAAAGAGTTAACCTCCACATTGCTAACACCAATCTTCTTCTGACTTTCTTTAAGCACTCCCGTTGTTCAATGTTCAATGAGAGGAATATGTTTTGTTTTTGTATTCTGTGCCGTCCCCACAATGAAAGTCAGCTACAGTGCAGCCCTGCTATTTTTCGGAAACCCCAATCGCTTCCAGGGTGCAACTCTTAAACTGCTATTTGAATAAAAATAACCATAAGAATGATTTGAGGAGTCACCATAGTAAAGCGGCTAGACGCTCATCTGCAGATTGGAAGGTTGTGGGTTCGAGTCCTGACGTGCCAAGATTTCTTCATAAATCATCTTGGCACCAAGGTTGACCCAGCCTTGAATGGTATCAGGTTGAGTCCTGGGAAGTAAAGGCAGCTGGCGTGATACTGACCACATCACCCACAAAGTGCCAATTGGTCTATAAAATACAGGTCTAGCCCTATATGCCCAATAAGCCTGAAGGTGAGGAAAGGGTCCTTTACTATGAGAATGCTTTAAGGGAGAAAAACACTGTCATTTGTAGAAACTGGAGCCACTTGAGACTTGAGAATCATGAAATTGTTAAACACATTCATTAATCTATTGGCCAGAGTCCCACCTGAGATAAAAAAACTGCTTGTATCAGTAAAAACCCAAATGTACCTACCTGGAACAATCCTGGGGTGGAGGCTGAAGAAAAGTTGAAACTTTTGCTCATTCTTTCTTCTGGGTTAGCCTTTGCCATTGAAGCTTGTATCATAACTGTCTTGGCTGTTCCTTGCTCTCCAATCAAAAGTACACCCTAGCAACAATGTAGACATGGTGAAAGATAACATGAGAAGCTATAATACTGAAGTGGACAAGGAAAGAATGAAGAAATATGAGAGAGAAAGAGAGAGAGAGAGAGAGAGAGAGAGACAGACAGAGAGACAGAGAGACAGAGAGACAGAGGGAGAAAGAGAAGCAGGCAGAGAGAGATGGATGTTTGAATATTTCAGTCGGCAAGGAAAGAATAAAGAAATTGTGTGTGAGAGAGAGAGAGAGAGAGAGAGAGAGAGAGAGAGAGAGAGAGAGAGAGAGAGAGGCAGAGAGAGAAGCAGGCAGAGAGAGAGAGATAGAGAGAGAGGGGAGAGAGAGAGAAGTAGATAGAGAGAAGTATATAGGGAGAGAAGCAGGCAGAGAGAGAGAGGGAGAGAGAGAGAAGTAGGCAGAGAGAGAGAGAAGCAGGCAAAGACAGAGAGAAAGGGGAGAGAGAGAGGTAGGCAGAAAGAGAGAAAGGCTGAGAGAGAGAAGCAGGCAGAGAGAGATAAATGTTTGAATATTTCAGTGGGCAAGGAAATATGAAAGGGACACAGAGACAGACAGGCAGACAGAAATGAATGTTATGTTTCAGTGGGAAAAAGAAAAGTGAAGCAAGATAAGAGAATGTAGGGGTTTGGGAATACTATAATCTCACAGTGAGAAAAGAAAGAATGAAGCACGAGAGAGAGAGAGAGAGAGAGAGAGAGAGAGAGAGAGAGAGAGAGAGAGAGAGAGAGAGAGAGAGAGAAAGAGAGAGAGATGGATGAAAGAGAAAGAAAGAAAGGATGAAAGAGAGCAAGAAAGGAGAGAAAAGGGAAGCTAAGAGAGAGAACAGGGAGAGAGAGAGAGAGAGAGAGAGAGACTATACATGTTGCCTGTATACAAATCTAACACTGCCAAAATGTACACACTCAAAAAGTAAGTTTTTGTTTTGTAAACTTACTTTGTTTTGCTTGCTGATAGTCTCAATGAGAAAATCAGATCGCACATTATCCACATTTGGAACCAGAATGGATGAAAAGAGAGGCACAGAGTCAGAAGGGTAAATATACTCCTCCACTCGATTACGCCAATGAATCCATTTTCCTGCAGTGAAAAAATAAATCACTCATGTGCAACCTGCCATTGATTTGTTGTAATCAGGGGCGTAACTACAAAGAAATCACTAGGGGAGGGGGGTGGGGGGGGGGGGGCTAAGCCCACTTATAATTGTCTAGGTGGTCCTTAGCAGAAGTGAGCCTAGTTGAAGTCAGTCAGTCAGTAGCATGTCTTTTGCAAAACCTTGCTCCCATAACAACCCTCCTGAAAACTTCTCGATCACAAGCAAGATGACCAGCGTCTGATACACCCAACTCGAGATAATCCGCCACACACTAAACCCATCTTCTCTGTCGCCTTCCTCTTCCTCTCTTCCCTGGCATATACCCCTCCATTATTGTTCTCTCTAAACTTTTGTGATGTTTCAAGTGACCAGAATATTTCAATTTTCTGTGTTGTATCGTCTTTAACAGCAAACCTTCTTCAATATTCAGTTCTTGAAGTATGGATGCATTTGTTCTTTACCTATGATATTCTTAGAGACCATCTATAACATTTGTATTCAAAGGCATTTATGTGCTGTCCAGCTTGTTTAGTAAATGTCCAGGTCTCAAAGGCGTATTTTGCAATGGGAAAGATGCATGCTCTCAGAAATCTAATTTTTGTAGTTTTGTCTGTCCTGTTGAAGTGGGCAATACAAAAAATTATTATTATAATTATAATTATGTGCTTAATAGCAAATTAATATTATTATAAAATAATTAAATTGGTAACATTATATTAGTCACCTTTATTTCCCAGAATCTCTGCTGGTACCCATTTTGTCTGAATCAACTGAAAGTCCAAGGTCAATTCTAAAAATTCACCGCCATGTGGATTCAAACCCTGGAACTATGGGATGGCAGGCAAGTGAAGTCCCAGTCTCTTTCATGGTTCGACTTTCATACTAGGTCCAAAGATAATAAACATTTTGTTTGTTTGTTTGTTGTTTGTTTCTGTGTTTTTTGTGTGTTTGTTGTTGTTGCTTGTTTTAAACTGTCATCTTCTTCTTCTTCTGTTGTCCTTCTGCTTATGCCGTACAAAACGGCAGAGAGGAGTTAGATGTAGTTTCCAGTCTTTTGCTTATTGCACAGCTTTCTTATGGTCATACTTCATTTCCATAGCATCAATTTCACTTACTCCACCCATCTCTCTCTTGGTTGGCACCCTGTCCCATAGCCTGCTGTTTAAACCATTCACATGGAAACCACTCTGGTTTCTGAGGATCATGTAATAGTTCTATAACCTTTAAGCCACAGAGTGGCTACAGACTGAGTTAAACTGGACAAAAAATGTAATCTGTACTGGATAAAAAATGTAATCTGTACTAAAATGTTTAGTTAAAATACTGGATTACCATCTGATGCTACCAAATACTCAAACATCGTCTCTTCTCCCACGAGTTTAGGGTAACGCAGTCTGGACTTGTGCTTCAGTAGGAACTCTTGCATCTTAGCACGGTCATCCAGTTCCAACAAGGCACCCAAGCTCCACATGAGGGCAAAGATAAACAAATTCTCAAAATGTAACTGGCTCATGTTCTTCCTCTCTTCCATTGATGCAGGAATGAGGCCTTCCAGTAAGTCACACATCTGGTCAAAAGAGAAAAGTAACCATTTCATTTTGCAGCACGATATGATGACACTTGAACAGTAAAAGGAATCATTTCTCTTTCAATGTGGAATATTCCAGGTATGATTCTGGTCCACAGCTGTTTCTACTTCACTGTGGAAATTGGCCGCATGGTATTGGGTCCACAGCTGTTTCTACTTGACTGTGGAATATTGAAGTTTGGTTCTTTATTAATCTTACCCCAGATGATGTCACAGGACAGTCCAACATTTTAGAGGGTGGTAAGACTGGAGTTTCCCAGCTTTCTGATGCTTTTAACGACCCCAAAACATCTAGAACTGGCCCTAACCCCAACCCACCTATGTCCCATGAGAGAGTGCAGCCTAGGTCCCACGACTGCATGAAGCCTACCCACGACCCCCTGAAATATTAGACTGTCCCGTGAACTGTGGTGCTTGGGGTAGGATATTAATAAAGCACCTTAAGTTTTTTATGTTGGCCTCAGTGCTGTTTCTAAATCCCTATGGAATATTAGAAGTAGGGTGTTGGGTCAATGATAAATTATATTTTACTGTGGAAAATTGGAGGTATAATGCTAGGCCCACATGTGGTTATATATCAGATGGCATATTCAGCGGGTGTTGTAATGGGCCCACAGTTGTTTCTGTTTTATACTGGGAGAATGGCACAGCCCCACTGATGTTTCTGTTTTCATCTAGGTATATAAGCTGACCTGCTCTATTTTCCATTTTGATTGATTTTTACATTGCTATATTACTTTTGGACTGACTAAAGAAATGTAAAGGAAAAAGTGGCACTGACAGGGTGGAGAACACACAACTGGAGAATCTCAACTTTGCAGATGAAACTGTTCTGTCAGGTCAGAAAATTTAACATGAAAAAAAAAAAATATAAATAGATGATTTAGCAAATATAATATGGCAAGTCAGATTAAATATCATTTTACAAAATATATTAAAAACATCAATAACATATAAATGAGAAGTAACTCTGAAGGACCCCCTCCACCCCTAAAAAAATTTGAATTAAGGTAACAATGTTGATTACCAAGGTAACACAACAAAAAAACATTATGATGTGCAGCTTTTAAAGGCCTGAAAAAAATATAACGATCCAACTTGCCCGCTGTGCAGAGCGAAACAGACGTTAGAACACGTTCTGTCCACATGCAGAAAAGCCCTAGGTCAAGGCCGATATACCTGGCGACACAACAAGGTGCTCAAAGAGTTGGCAGCTGTTGTGGACCAGGCTAGGATGCGGCCAATGCGAGGGCCAGTCCTACCATCGTCCCCATATGCTTCCTCAAGGCTGGGCAGATTCAAAAAAGTAAGATCAACAAAGGCGCATTCGCTCCATCTACGCTAGACTCTGCGAGGGACTGGTTACTGGTGGTTGATCTGCCAGGCCATGAAAGGTACCCTGAGTCAATTCGGAAGACTGGCCTGCGACCTGACATAGTTCTCCACTCTGCGGAGAAACGGCAGCTCATCCTGATTGAGCTTACCGTCCCGTATGAGTCGCGAATGGATGAAAATCACATGTATAAGCTCGAGAAATACAGTGATTTAGCAGCCGGTCTGAGGAGAGACAAGGCGTACACAGTACGTGTCTTTGCCGTCAAAGTGGGAGCGAGAGGTCTCGTTTCCACTTCACTCTGCAATGTGATTAAAGAACTAGGATTGCACGGTAATGAACGCAAACGGACACTTAAACAGCTGGGCGAGGTTGCTGAGAGGGCCTCGAGCTGGCTTTGGACGCAACAAAACAGCGTAGGGGACGGGCTTCGGTGAGCTGGTCTGGGTGTCTAGCGGAAAAGAATTTCTCATCCTTTGAAAATCCATCGTGTCCGAATTGTCTGCCAGTGTTCCTCTGTTAGTTAGTTAGTTAGTTAGTTAGTTGGGTTATCGTCATTGCACTCCGGACATGTCCATAGGTGCTCAGATCCTCCCCTCAGTATGAACCCCAACGTCCGATGGCTAATAGTACCAGTTCTATGTTGATTAACAAGTCTTCTGACGTGTCCGGTGTGCGTCTCGTTTTTTGCTGTGCCGATCTTAATTCCCAAGTCTGCCATTCTGGCGAGTGATGTGGATTCACTGCCACCAAAGTCCTCTATCCTTCCCATTTCTCTGAGGGCATTGATAATATCAGCATGATCCATAGGCCGACCGTCGGTAGTGATAGCGGATCCAGCCAACCTGTCAGCTCTTTCATTTCCATCGACGCCTGCGTGTCCCGGAACAAAAATAAAGGTGACTCCACGAACAGTGGACTTCTGTAATGATTCAAGCCATTGTCTTCGCACTGAACCTGCCTGAACCCTCCGGATCATACTCATTGAATCACTGAGTATACATATGCGGGTGTATTTTTGTGTTTCAAGCCAGGCAAACGCTTGCGTCACTGCCATCACCTCCATCGTCATGCTGCTGGTTGTCATGGAGAAGGCACCGTTGGCTTCTTTGACTGTTCTGCCCGCTGAGCGTGCTGTAAATGCCCATGCGCTTCTTCTTTGGCGTATAACGGATCCGTCTGTGTAGATCAGTGTTCCTCTGCCACCTGCTAATAAAAGTCCAACATGTGTCTGGTATACCAGTCGTAAGCTTGTCACTCGGTCGTCCAGGTATGCAGACTGCTCTAATTATGCTACCGCGACGACTTTTTATCTCACAGTACCTTCTGCAAAATCACCAATTCGTCTTGTCCCTTTTCGAACAACATCCGGTAATTTCGTGCAGCAGGGAAACCAACCCTGAGCTTCATGAACTCATGTGGGCCCACTCTCTGAGAATGTCTAGGAAATTAAATGTTTTCAATTCTAGTATTTCAATTTCAACGTACGTCAGTGAAAGCTGGAGAAGCACTAAAGACTTGGAGTAAAAAATAAATGAATTAGAGAAGAATCGCTTGAGAAAAATTAAGAACATTAAATGGGATGAACATAAGAAAGGTGAAGAAATAAGAGAAATGTGTGGGCAACCATAGATACCAACAGTTGTAAGGCAAAGAATATGGTAATATTTTGTTAGTTGTACATCCTTTACAAGATGTTGCAGAACCTACCTCAGCATTTTTGGACTGTTGTAGTTTTTTTTCTAGGCACATTTTTTTACCTTCAGTAGTTTGCCATTTCTTTCCTGTCGGTACCAGTGTCAAAACCAATGCACCCCAGCATTACAAGGCACATTCACACGTCTAAGCCACAGATGCCAACAGAATCACCAAACATGTGCTTCCAAGGGAGACAAATATACTGAGAAAATTAGAATGTCCATCAGAAACTCTAAGGTGAACACTGATGAGAGAATTGAAAAGCTCTGGCTTGGATTCTGTCCATGGTATTGAAACAATGATACTGGACAGAATGTTAACACAGCCTTTCTTTCCCTTCTGGCTAGAATTCATTTCCAGTGTTCACACATGTGTCAGGTATTCAACTGGTCAGACAGACATGTTGATTAATCTCAGAGATACTTCTGTTAAATGATTTCTGTGTATTGTTGTTCCTATCTGTGGCAATGTCTACTCATGTAATTTTCTGATGAAGGCTTTCTAGTTGCAACATTTACTTGTCATTTGTGTCTGTGATCATGTGAAGCTGACTAGTCCTATTTTACGTTTCGTTTGATATATTTCCATACAGGAAGGCTCACCCGGTGAACACATGCCGAGTGAAGTTGGATGTGTTGCTCAAAAGGCGCAAATATTGTAGCTCTGCTGCAAACAGGCATAATGCAGTTTATGTCATTTGGACAAACAAAAAAGAAGAGCATATCTTTTCTCCTTCTTCTTTGTTAACCAGCTGTAAGCTGCAGGCAGAAAGTCATGGCTGTTCGTCCATTTGGACTGACTTTGTGCCATGGTCAGAGTTATCTGTGTGCAGTTGATTGTTCCATGCCAATCCAGACAAAGTGACTCCAAAAAAGTCCCCAGTTAGTCGATTCCTACAACATGCTTATTAAGGGGGGCAGTGGGTCTGTTCTTATTTTCTCAAAATATGGGGCTCGGAACCCACATGGTGGAAGATATTTTTTCATGATAAAGGACAAAATGGAATGAAAGAACAGACTCTGAGCCCTATGTGATGTAAAGCAGCACCACAGGATGATGATGTTTCTGAAGCCAGGAGTCTCTACATTGAGTCCACATATACTCTGATCCCGTATAGACCCTGATTAAAATGGATATCAGGATAAGCACAAGGAGGAAAAGTTTGGTGGCAAGATGGTGACCTCAACACTAATCAAATGCCAATATTGTTAAGCTCTCGTTGTTGCTGGCAGCTTTCAGTCTTTTCAGACAATGATGTTATGTTGTGCTACGAGAATACACATGAATCACAGCACATGGCAATGGCAAGTGTGATTAGCAAGGCCTGCTTGTGTTAACGAAAGCTCTTCATAGCACAAGGCCCTGGCAGTATTATAAAGATCGTGTATTGCCCATGCATGAAGATTCCTCGCTCGTCCTGCCTTGTTAACTCAAAAGGAAAGTGAGCACCAATATGTTTGGAGCAAAGCTTGCTGCCGAAGTTGCCAGATTAGAAGATTAGAAGAGCAGTGCTCTGTCTGTTAGCCTGTCATTACTGTCTGTATATACCACTTCTCAGTGTGATGTAGGACAGAGGGTTCTTGAGCCAAGGATTCGGGGCTGCATGGCTAGTGCAGTCACCACTAACTGTGCAGGTTAGGTGTGTGCACCTTACCGAGGGTCTGAACCTGGGTCTTAGTGAAATCTGGTGTACACAAATTTGGATCCAGGCCCACATTCCAGATGTGCTAATGGTATGAAAAGGTCCTTTATGTTTAGATTACTACAGCACAATAACATACCTACCTGTCTGATCTCTGTGGTAAGGGGTGTCGTAGTCGACCCAGCCTAAAATGGGTACCAGGATGTATATCCTGGGGAAGTAAAGACGGCTGGCATAATGCTGACCACATTA